GGCCGTATGACGCGTATGACGTAGCTGTGACGTAGCTGTGACGTCGCAAGCACGCGCCAACATGGCGGCTGAACCACTGTGCATTCGTTTCTGCGCATGGCCATTCCTGTGCTCAACGTTCGCGCAACTTTGATTTCTGAAAGCACATAATGACAAATATATAAAGATAGAATCAATTAATCATATTGGTCATATATGTAGACTTGCCCGAAGAAACAGAGAAAAAAATTGAGATATTTTTAATTTCTTTTTCTTTAAGTAAAGGATGGAAATGTCTATTCATAGGCTTGTTCCTTTTTTCCTCTTTCGCGCAATTTCGATTCAATATATAACGTAGAAAATTCATGGTATATTATGCTAATGATATGAATTACGAATGATTCGATTGTTTTATCGCGCTTTTCCAAAGTCAAATCTTATAATATTTAGTTTTGCATTTTAAAAGACTGAGAGCGATTCATATACAGAGTTTGAAGAGACATCCAATGCACGACAAATTATACTTACGTTGATTAGTATTCATCAATATCGAACTGTTAATCGCGAATACGTACAACACTTTCACACATTTTTTTCGCAAAGAACGATGTACGAAATGCAATATTTCGCGCCTCGCGTTTCACTCATGCGGCCATCTTTCTTTGCTGTTTAGTATCGCTATCTGCATTCGCGTTAAACGCCAGAATTACGTAGTCAACATACTTTTCGAGTGCCGGTAAAGTAATCATTTTGTGCATGTCGGTAAATTGTTAGAATCACGTCGCAAGCATGATTTTTTTATTTGTAGCATAATAAAATATGTAATTAAAAATTCATGTAAAACACGTATTTTTAATCAAATTACATATACTATCGAGAAAGTGAAAAAATAATAAGCACTGTATCTATTTTGAAAATAATATATATAAATAATAAGTAATTTTTAAAAATTACTCACCGCATATCTCTCTGGCTGCTCAGGTTCTCTCACTGCTCTCTGTCCGATATTTTTCCAGATGTCCTCCTTTAGATTTAGGTTACACACACATTGCATAAAGCTTCGATATTTTGCAATCTTACCTCATCTCAATTTGGAGAAGCTCGTGCATTCCTTTCGATAAATGTCCGCACAAAAATATATCGCGCTTCAAATAAATAAAAGTCATTCGATACTGTGCACGATTCTAATCGTACGAAATATATTCAACGATTTTTTTTGGATCACTGTATTATCGGAACGTGCGATCAGAACGATTCGAAAAATGAAACGATGAATATACAGAATTTGAAGAGATATCCAATGCACGACAAATTATACTTGCATTGATTAGTATTCATCAACACCGAAATGTTAATCGCGAATACGTGTACAACACTTCCATACATTTTTTTCGTAAAGAAGGATATACGAAATGCAATATTTCGCGCCTCGCCTTTCACACAATGCGGCCATCTTTTTTGCTGTTTAGTATCGCCATCTGCATTCGCGTTAAACGTCAGAATTACGTAGTCAAAATACCTTTCGACTGCCGGTAAAGTCATCATTTTGTGCATGTCGGTAAATTGTTAAAATCACGTCGCGCAAGCATAATTTTTTTATTTGTAGTATAACAAAATATGTAATTAAAAATTCATGTAAGAAACGTATTTTTAATCAAATTACATATACTTATTCCGTTACTCTAATACTTGTACGTTAACAGATTTAGGTTACACACATTGCATAAAGCTTCCAGAGAAAAATATCCAGAGGCACAAATATTTTATAAACGAAAATCATGCGAAGATGAAACAATAGATTAAAGAAGCCTTATAATCATTGTACTTTTATGTATAAACGTTTCACAAAATAAAATCTTTATAAATGAAGTGTTACATTAAAAATATTAGTATAACATTAAATATCGATGTGAGATTTAAAATTATTTGTCCTTTTTTTTCTTTAGAATTTTTTTACTTTTTTTTCTAAAGATTCTTTAAGCGAGAACTGCTTCTTTCGCAAGACTATTGAACAATTTGAATGTTTGATATTTTCTTAGTAATTTCATTTAAATTTCGTGAAAAAATTCGAGAGAAAATTAGATTTTATCGTATTACTGCACATATCGATTAAATGCTATATCAAATATGTAGTGTAAATATTTTAATTTCTTTGTATACGATCTACTTTTTATTCTATCGATGTTTTCATAGTGATGCACCTTGAGCACTTGGCTTCATGTTTGCAATAAAAATATATTAAAGCAAATTATTTTGCAAATTTATTATTCTAATTTTTATTTAGAAAGATTAAGATTAAAAAAGACGTATGAATTTTTTCAGATTTTTTTAAATATTTCTATTGAATAAAATGCAGATAAAACTGACTTTTCTGTACATTTTAAATGTGCCAAAAGATTTGCTCTTTATTCCACTTACTGCAATAATGTACACTAAAAATGACAGATCTATATTAAAAATGATAGATTAGTAGTATATTTAGTAGTTGGAAAGAAAGAGAGCAGAAATGAAAAGTGCATCTAGAGAATTTAAAAGAATAAAAAACAAATCTAAAAATAATATATAAAGATTAATATTATGTATTTTTTTCATGAGGAATGTGGAGCGCACATTTATGCATTTATTTATTTAGATGAGATTTACTTTAGGGCACATTCAGTATTCAACTTTAATTTTATTTTCTCTTTCTTACGATATATAAGTATAACATAATTACCTGCAAATGCTATCATTTTTGTATGCTTACAGTGATACAGAAACAACATTACGAGTACTATATTTACAGATAACATCTGTATAATAAAAAAAGCACCAAAAGTCTAATGATAAAAAAAGGGTAAATATTGTAGACCAGTATAAGTATCAACCAATTATTCCGCCATTCTGTTTCATTAGAGTTGCAATTTTCTTTTATAATATCATGAATATTATAAATAAGATAAAGATTTCAGTACGTTTCAAATAAATTTATATATTTTATGTATGTAATACTGCGCACACATATTAAAAGGTGATAATATCACAGTTATAATAAGATACAATCCTGGCAATGTAGCGATGTTTGGATTCTGAAAATAATTTAATTTGATTTATTTTTGAGAAATGCACACAATACTTGAGAGCAAATTATTTTTGTGCAATGTATTACCTGTGTAAAATTCCACACACAGTATCATATTGTCTGGGATATATGAAAAGCTTCATCGATGAAATAAATGGTTGAATATGATTGAGATATAAGAAAAGTACTTGTAATGTAGTAATATAGTACTTGTCATGAATAACGTTAATGTGGAATACATAAATATTTTATATTTTAATTTCATGTAATCGAGATGGGATAAGACACTCATGATTACTTTAAAAATGTGTCCACAATTATCATGTTCTTCAATAGCTGCACATTCGTCAAATTAATCCTATTACGTTAAATGAATCACAGCAGCTTGTTTTAATTTAATCTAACCTAACCAATTATATTATATGCTCCTCATTAAAATGTGAAAAACTGTACGTCGCACATTTAATACGATTAATATACTACGTAATAAAATGTAATACACTAATGAAATAATTAAATATTATTTTTGAAAACATGATAAAATCCAGGGAGCATACGCTTATATTTACATTCGACATCCAAAGACACTAAAACGTTAGGTTAGGTTAGGTTAGGTTAGATCGAACAAATTTATCGTTTAACAGTTGGCAGCCCTACGAGATAGGCTGTAATATGCTGCGCGCGCGTACAAAATAAATTTGAAATCGCTTCTAGCATAACCATCTTCACGCGATCGACTTTATTTGAATTGTACCGAATCGAATTATGATGCCGATTTGTCCGAATGTAATTCGGGACATCGCGATGCTGTATAAGCGTCGAATGAGCACGAATTGTCACGCAAATATGATAAATCAAATCTACTCACCGTTCACCGGCTGTTCCACAGGTCGCTCCACTCGCTCGCCTCGGGACGTTTCATTCCGATCTTGATCGCACACGATATCATCAACGCGAACGCGCGACACTTTATTCAGCACTCCCGATATTCGCTCGCATCCGATAATTATCATCAAGGGCGTGAATAATGCGACGCAACTTCGCTCCATCTTCGCGATGACGCCATCACTGAATATCGTCAAAAATCGCTGTCGCGCGTTTCCATCGACACACTATGAAAGTCGCGCGATCATCCTTGGATACTTTGGACGCTCGTTCAGTCGCGATATTCGTTTAAAAACGGTTAAAAGACGCGAAAAATGCGGATGTACGACGATCCGTGTAACTGCGTATGACTCCGATTCACGCGCCAACATGGCGGCCGTATGACGCGTTTGACGTAGCAGTGACGTAGCTGTGACGTCGCAGTCACGTGACAACATAGCGGCCGACCACTGCGTATTCGTTTCTGTGCACGGCCATTCCTGTGCTCGACGTTCACGCAATTGTGATTTCTGAATATTGTGTACGGCTTTAATTAATAGCACATAATGATAAATATATAAAGATGGAATCAATTAATCATATTGGTCATATATGTAGACTTGCCCGAAGAAAGAGAGAAAAAATGGTGAGATACTGCCGGCATTTTTTCATTAAAATAGTGGTTTTTTTTCAAATATTTTTCTATATAAATAAATAATACATTACTCAGAATTTTGATATTTATTTAGAGCTACAACCCAGGTAGCAGAGTGACGTTAAATGATATCTTAATAACGTTTTAATGACGCTATTGTACGTTATTAAGATGTCTGAAGACGTCATCTTGCTACCTGTGAAAAGTGATTTTCCCGGCAGTCTAATGGTTAATAATATATTAATAATAAAAAGAGAAAGAAAATAAAATTATAGAAGACTTATTTATATATTTGAAATTTATTTATACATAAGCGTTATCGATACTTTTGTGTTATCGACATTTCCTGCACCTAGCACGGAACGCAACCGGAAATTGTGCCCATTATTTTTTACCCATTGAAAACATTCGTAAATTTTGGATTCGTAGTTCATGTTCTTGTCGAAGAGGGTGCTAAAAGCGGATCATGACGTCTCATTCTTCTCTCCGCTTTTGAAATGTCACCCTATCGCTATAGTCATATGATCTGACATCATCAGATAGTGAACGATAGCGAAGTGTCAAGTCGCCAAAACATATCAATCTTATCATATATTACGTAGGAAACACAATGACACACGTGGCCGTAGTAAGTAATGAAGCATAAATTGCGAAACAAAAATTCCTCGTTTCATATCGGCTATTAATTATTTTTAATTAGAATTTTCATAAACTTAAAAATTTGCAAGTAATGCTGTCTTATTTTTCATAGGTAACAGGTGCAAACAAGGGTATCGGTTATGCTATTGTCAGATCCCTTTGTCAACAATACGATGGGAATGTTTACTTAACGGCTCGCGATGTTACTCGTGGCTTGAATGCTGTCAGTGAATTGGAGAAACAAGGGTTGAAACCGAAATTCCATCAATTAGATATCAGCGATGATGAGAGCGTCACGAAATTCCGGGATTACTTGAAGAACACATATGGCGGTTTGGATGTATTAATTAACAACGCTGCCATAGCATTTAACGTAGTAAGTAAAATATTAAAACTGTATTTAGTTTTTAAAATCGATTTTAAAGAATAATTTGCCTATTTCCTTCTTTTAAGTAAAAAAAATATATAAATCTTTTTATATTTTTTTATTTTATTACAAAATAGGAATGATATTTTATGAATATATATATATATATATATATATATATATATATATATATATAATGAATAAATATTGCTTAGCTAAAATAAAATGTCAAAAAATTGATATTTTTATCTTATGTGATTGCACAAGTGGCATTTAAAATTTTGTACTAGAATTTCTTATATTTTAAAATTAGTTTTATTGCATCAAACTCGTGCAACAAACATAACAGTTATCAAGAAATTTCATAATTTATTTTCACAGATTGATATGTGTAAAATATATCTTATAATGTATTTATTCTTCATATCAGTTTATATACTATTCTTTTTATGTATAAAAGTACAAAATTAATATTTTATATTATACACTTTATGTCATAAAATATAGATATTTTATTCTATTTTTGTGCACAGATTGAGTAAGATAATTAATTTAAAATAAAATTTAAGAGAAAGAAAGAGAAATAGAAATTCTATTTAAAAAAGAACATGTAAATACAAAATTAAAAAATAAATATGTAACATTTGATTATGTATTATTATAGGATGATACTACGCCTTTTGGGACTCAAGCTGAAGAAACAATAAGAATAAATTATTTCAGCTTACGTAAAGTATGTACTGCACTTTATCCATTACTTAGACCACATGCTCGAGTGGTGCATGTTTCTAGCAGTGCTGGACGTCTTTGCAACATTACTGGTGGTGTATTGAAGAAGAGATTATCTGATCCGAATCTAACCGAAGCAGAATTAGATAAAATTATGCATGAATTTGTCAAGTAAATAATTATATAATTTCAATCATTTATGTGTATATAGGAATTTATATATTAATCCAAAAAATCCTTTCAAAATTTATACATATATATATATATATATATTTTTTTTTTTTCATTTTTAGGGCTGCAAAATCTGATGCACATATACAAGCTGGCTGGTCAAATTCAGCATATGTGGCAAGCAAAATTGGAGTATCTGCTTTAGCTGGTATTCATCAATCTATGTTTAACGTGGATTCCCGAAAAGATATCGCAGTCAATGCAGTACATCCTGGCTATGTAGATACAGATATGACTAATCATAAAGGACCTCTGACACCAGATGAAGGAGCTGTAGCACCTGTTTATTGTGCTTTATTACCAGAAAATACAGAAATAAAGGGAAAATATATCTGGTATGATATGACTTTATCAAACTGGAAATAATAAGATAAACATATAAATAATATGACATGATTGTATACTCATTATTTTTATGAAATATAATGTAAAGGAACAAATAAACGTGATTATTTATACTATTTATCTTCAATATAATTAAACATTTATTTTTAAAAAATTTTAAAAGCTATTTGTTACAAAACTTTTAAACAGTTGAATAAAGATTTGTATGCGTATGTATATATTAAAGTTATATTGAAAAATGACACATTTTATTATTCACATTTTTAGATTCGTAGTTCATGTTCTTGTCGATATAAGCGTGCTAAAAGCGGATCATGACGTCTCATTCTTCTCCCTGCTTTTGAAATATCACCTTATCTCTATCCCTATAGTCATATGATCAGATATCATCAGATAGTGAATGTCATAACGAAGTGGTCAAGTCTGTTGTCAAACAATATCAATCTTATCATATGTTACGTAGGAATGAAATACAATGATACACGTGGCCGTGGTAAATAATTAAACATGAGTTGCGAAACAAAAGATATATTATTCTTTTTATGCATAAAAGTACAAAATTAATATTTTCTATTATATACTTTATGTCATAAAATGTCAATAGAAAATAAGACATGTCATAAAATATAGATTTTTTTTATTCTATTCCTCATTGTTTCGTATCTGCTATTAATTATTTTTATTAATTAGATATTTTCATAAACTTAAAAATTTGCAAGTAATGCTGTCTTATTTTTAATAGGTAACAGGGGCAAACAAAGGTATCGGTTATGCTATTGTCAGATCCCTTTGTCAACAATACGATGGGAATGTTTACTTAACGGCTCGCGATGTTACTCGTGGCTTGAATGCTGTCAGTGAATTGGCGAAACAAGGATTGAATCCGAAATTCCATCAATTAGATATCAGCGATGATGAGAGCATCACGGAATTCCGGGATTATTTGAAGAACACATACGGCGGTTTGGATGTATTAATTAACAACGCTGCCATAAAATTTAACGTAATTAAAATATTAAAACTTGGTTTTTAAAATCGATTTTAAAGAATAATTTGCTTATTTCCTTTTTTTTAAGCTAAAACAATATATATGAATGTTTTATATTTTTTATTTTATTACAAAATATTAGAAATGATATTTTATGAATATATATGTATATATAATGAATAAATATTGCTTAGCTAAAATATGTCAACAAATTGATATTTTTATGATTGCACAAGTGGCATTTAAAATTTTTTACTAGAATAATTTTTTATATTTTAAAATTAGTTTTATTGTGTCAAACTCATGCAAGAAACATAACAATTATCAAGAAATTTCATAATTTATTTTGACACATATAAAATATAACTTATAATGTATTTATTCTTCATATCAGTTTATATATTATCTTTTTATGTATAAAAGTACAAAATTAATATTTTCTATTATATACTTTATGTCATAAAATGTCAAGATAAAATAAGACAGACATGTCATAAAATATAGATTTTTTATTCTATTTTTATGTACAGATTGAGTAAGATAATTAATTTAAAATAAAATGTAAGAGGAAAAAGAAAAACAAATTCTATTTAAAAAGGAATATGTAAACATAAAATTAAATAATAGATATGTAACACTTGATTATATATTATTATAGGATGATGCTGTGTCTTTTGTAACTCAAGCTGAAGAAACAATAAGAGTAAATTATTTCAACTTACGTAAAGTATGTACTGCATTTTATCCATTACTTAGACCACATGCTCGAGTAGTGCATGTTTTTAGCAGTGCTGGACGTCTTTGCAACATTACTGGTGGTGCATTGAAGAAGAGATTATCTGATCCAAATCTAACCGAAGCAGAATTAGATAAAATTATGCATGAATTTGTCAAGTAAATAATTATATAATTTCAATCATTTATGTGTATATAGGAATTTATATATTAATCCAAAAAAACCTTTCAAAATTTATATATATAAAATTTATATATATATATATATATATATATTTTTTTTTTTCATTTCTAGAATTGCAAAATCTGATACACATATACAAGCTGGCTGGCCAAATTCAACATATATGGCAAGCAAAATTGGAGTATCTGCTTTAGCTGGTATTCATCAATCTATGTTTAACGTGGATTCCCGAAAAGATATCACAGTAAATGCAGTACATCCTGGTCATGTAGATACAGATATGATTAATCACAAAGGACCTCTGACACCAGATGAAGGAGCTGTAGCACCTGTTTATTGTGCTTTATTACCAGAAAATACAGAGATAAAGGGAAAATATATCTAGTATGATATGACTTTATCAAACTGGAAATAATAAGATAAACATATAAATAATATTTCCTGATTATATACTCGTTATTTTTATGAAAACATAATAAACATATAACCTGATTGTATACTTATTTTTATGAAATATAATGCAAATAAATGTGATTAATTATACTATTTATCTTCATTATAATTAAACATTTATTTTTAAAAAACTTTAAAATCTATTTGTTACAAAACTTCTAAACGATTGAATAAAGATTTGTATGCACATATATATTAAAGTTATATTGAAAGATGATACATTTTATTATTCACATTTTTCGCAATTGTGTGAAAAAAAAACAAAGTAATTATATCTCTTAATTTTATATAGTGTGAAACAAATGCATTAATTAAAGAAAAAATATTCTGCACATAAATAATATTTAAGATAACTATGAACTATCTTGCTTGAGCATTCATTGCTTCTCTGCGTGCTGCTTCAGTTAAGAGATGAATATCTACTTCGTCTACTGGAAGTTGCACATATCGTACTACAGATCCACGGATGAAACAATTTTTTACCGATAACTAAAATTTAATACATGATTTAGTTACAATTTGATCACATATTATGCAGACAATTTTAACAATTGTACTTGAATAGCATGTAAAAAAATATCAATTTTGTACATACCATATGAGGATATTTTTCAGAATCTGTTACGCTAATATCGGCTAATTTTATGTTCAGGTACTGATCGACGGAATATAATGTTCCACAAATACTAAAATAAAATAATGTAAAGTTAGTGGATTTTAGTTACTTGAAAAATTTTATTTTACTACTGCGTAAAACTTCACCTAAGATCATTTTTTAACTCCACAACCACATCCTTTCCGATCAAGGATTTGAAGAAGGAGTAGAATAACTAAAATTAAAAATACATTCGATTGGATTTAAGATTATAAACAGGATACACAAAGAAAAAGCAAGATGTAATATATTTACTTGCTATATGATATGACGTATTCTTATAATATATCCTATAAACTTACCATAGTTAATTCTTGGAGATTGTTATATAATCGTATATTTACTATGTGCTAATTTATGTTTATTTACAATGAAATACACATTAGAATAAATCTCATATCACGAAATTACAAAGCATCAAAATTGATTAGAAATGGTTAGAAACGATCTAGAGACTCTAATCAGTGTTGCTAGCAACTGGAGATACTGGATGCCTTCTGAATTAAGCTGACATTACATTTGTCATACATCAAAATTTTTAAACATATTGATTGGCTGCAGAATAGAAAGTTTCTAAAGAACCAGAAATTTACTATCCCTCAGCCAATCAATATGCTTAAAAAATTTGTCGTACGACAAATGTGACATCAGCCTTAATTTTCGCCAACTTTTTCTAGTTATAAAGTGGGTAACTTTTTCTAGTTATAAAGTTGGTGACGCATCAACTAACGGGCTGTGTTTCGATATGAACTGATAACACGTGGTTATAATTATATATTTTATGTGATTGTAATTTATAAATAATGGATACCAAATCAATTACAACATCAATTCAATCACATAAAGATGATAAAGATCTTGATATTGATTTGGGAACTTTACTTGCATCCGATTATAATACCTTGGATACGAAAACTCTCAAGTAACCTTAATTTATCATATGATAATAATTTATTTATTTAATGTTATTTAGTATAAAACTATATAATACATCCCACATTTGCTTAAATCATTATAAATATAATATTTAAATGATGAATAGATTCAGTAATTGATAATTAGAATTTACAAAGATTTACTAATACTGTGATTAATAAATACATCATTTTTTAATTAATTAAACTCCCAATTAGTTACTTTAAATAATTAAAGTCCTAATTATCAACTTTCCAAAAATATTGAAGGAAGCGTTTTGGATTTTGGCGAAAAATGCCTCAAATAACTATAATTAACAAAAATCATTTTTTAAAATTTCAAATTAATGTCTTGACAAAATAAAACTTCATATTTTAACTAAATAAAAATATTGATTGAATATTTATAAGAATTGCATTTTTATTTCTTCAAAAAAAAAAATTATAGTGCTTTGACAAACTCATTGTTTGAGCAATGAATAAGAAATTTTTTCTGCTGGAGTGTATTATACTATTTTACCTTAATTGTGTATTATACTATTTTACCTTAATTGGTAAATTATAATTTACAACATTGTTGTTATAACTTATTAGTTATTATTAAATTTATGTTTATATTTTGTAGATCGCAACCAAATTCATATTTAAAAAGTTTGACAAGAGATAATGTCCAATTATTAATTAATAAAATTTGGGATTTGCCAGTAGAACGGGTAGATGAAGTTATAACAGCTACATTGCCCAAGCCAGAATATGTATTACCACGTTCGCGTGTTATTCCAAAACCCAAACCTTTGACAAAGTGGCAGTTGTTTGCCAAACAGAAAGGCATACAGACTAAAAAGAAGGGTAAATCGAAACTGAAATGGGATGAGGAATTAAAAGTAAGACATTTATTCTTATTTAAAACTATACCATTATATTTAATAATCCAATTACATGTGTACATATATATTATAATTTAAAATAACTAAATATGAAATTTACAATATATAATTTTCAATTTATCTAATCTTTTCTTAACTTTTTCTTTTTAGGAATGGATACCAACATATGGTTATAAACGAGCAAAAGCTCAGGAACAGAAAGAATGGTTGATAGAAGCTAAGGATGATGCTGATTCAACTGTTGATCCATTTACTAAAGCTAAACAAGCTAAACAGGAAAAACAATCCAAAAACGAATTGCAAAGGCTTCGCAACATAGCCAAATCGAAAAACATAAAACTACCAAGAGTCGGTCTGCCCACTAAAGACCACTTTCCAAATTCTCAACACCTTTCTGAAGCTTTAACTATAGCTCGTACATCAACTGCATCTGTTGGAAAATTCCAGCCTAAGTAGCTCTTCATACCTTTTATAACTTATTTCCTCTGATTTTTTCCTTAAATTAAACAATATAATATTGCTACAGGCTATCAAAAGAGAAGGATGCAAAGGGAATTGCCAAGGAAGTACCTGGAATGAAGAGAAAGAGGAAAGCACCCCCATTAAATGTTGTTGAGGAAAGACATCAAAATAAAAATTTGGTGGATGGCATTTTAGAAAAGAAAACTAAAATTCTCCATGAAAATTATTCAACAGGGATTACTGAGTAAGTTTTTATTTGTGCAAATTTAATTTTATAGTACCCCCAATGTTTAATTTATAGTTTAAATGTTAAATTTATAATATTCTAAATGAAACAAAATAATATGTACATAAATGATTCTTTAAAAAAATTTGTGGGATATCCTTAGTTCTATCATAATTTTTATATAATTTAATATTTATTATTATTATTAATAAAATTGAGATATTATTATTATATTTATTATTATTAATAAAATTGAGATTTAGTGGGTCTAAAGTAACACTCAGATATGTTTCTTTGATAAAGATATGTGAGTGTTATTTTAAAAGAAGTTTTTGGAGTTTATCTTGCCTGCATTATAACTTATAAAAATCTTTCTCTGAGTTGCACTTTAATATAAATTTTAATTATTGAGAATAAGAGGTGAAAAAATTACTCGTTTAAAAAAAAGAACTTTATTTTTGTATCAACATGATAATTAAGAAACGAGCAATAATATTTATTTTTATATTTTTAGACATACATTTGAAAGCGTAATAATTAATATTTGTTCAAATATTACAGGATAAAACAATCCTCTGCACCAACTAATAATAAAAAGAAAAAAAATTCACTAAAACATAGCAAAGGCGCTAGAAAACCAAAAGCAGGAAAAGGCAAACGAGACTTACACAAAAAAGTTGGTGGTAGAAAGCGAAGATAAATTGAGATATTTAATATCTATTTGTATGTAATGATGTGGCAAATTAAATTTTATTAATAAAAAATAAAACTAATAAGATTATGTTAAAAAAGAATTGCATTTAGCTCATAACAGTATAATAATATGGAAGAATGAAAAGATAAGGAGTATAAGGAATATAAGGAGATTATAGAAGAAATTTTCTTATTAATTACATTTTTCTTTTTTTATAAATATATATACTTGTAAAAAAAAAGAAAAATAATGATATATTAAATCTAAACACATGAAAGTAATACAAGTAGTTGGAATAGCTCTCGTGAAAAGATTTTCAAGTAGAAGTAATTAAACAATTATATATTTATCATCAGAGAGATAGCTTTACTAAAATATTTGAATAAAATTGAAACCACTCTTTTTTTTTTTTTTTTTTGACGTTAAAAAATTTGTTCATACTACTTAATTGCCAATATTGTAGAAAAGAGTATTAAAGAAAAAAAAGAAAGAGTTTATTAATTTTATTTATATAGAAAATATATTATATTAATAATAATACAAAGATAAAAAAATTTTAATTTATATGAATAAGATTGGTAATTAATAAGTATATAGTTATGTAGATACATAGTATATGCATAGGATTGTTATTAAATTTTAAGAAATTTTCAAAAAAATTGATTTCGCTATTTTCGAAAAGAATCTCTCAATCAATAAAAAAACGTAATATTGAAACAAATAATGTTAAATCTGAATAAATCTTAAAGGCGCCTTTTCATGCTGATTTTCGACGCACATTTTCAACGTCAACGTCACGTGACTAAAAATAAAGACAGCAATTCGTCATTTTTTGATCACGTGATATTTTTTGACAGTTAAAATGAGCATCCTATGAATTTGCCTTAAATGTTATATGGAAGACGGATTGAATAATGATTGAAAAAAAACAAAGATCTCATAATATTTATATATTAATATGACAAATAAATGTCAAATATAATAGCTTTTTATAAACAATATATATTGCTTGAATTATATACTTTATATAATACACATAATACATTCTATAATTTGCTCCGACCCCCACTTGATTGATATCTTTGCTACAGCTGTTAGGACTTTGGACCTTATCTTGGTACAGAGATCATAAAACATTATTTTTCTACTGATTAATATAAGTTGAAGGCAAGAAAAGAAATTAAATTTCTATAACAATGCTTTTCACCTGCACCAGAACATTGCGAGCTGCTAGCAAAGTGAGCATGTTTTTTTTTTACTGTGCCCCTATTCATTTTTGTTTTATCCATTTCTAGTTATTCATTTTTTTCCTGATATTTTTTTTGTTATTCATTTTGTTCTGATTTCATTGTACTTCTTATTATATTTTAGCAAGAAACACATTAAATACTTTGCCATATTTGCTTATATTTGTTTAATATTGAACTTTATTGTTAACATATAGATAGATGTTAATTTTGCAATTGTCTTTCAATCTTTAAGATATTCATTAAATATTAGTTTTTTATGTAAATTAAATGACAACGTCTTTTCAATTTTATTTATTTTATTTATTTTTTATTTATTTTTGATATGAGAAATATGTGTGATAAAAATTTAAATATTTTAAATATATGTGTCATTTACTTTACAGTTTGGCTCATTAATACGTTATGAATCTACCTTGGTCATTGCAGAACATAATAATGAGAATTTATTACCAATCACTTGCAACACATTAACAGCTGCCAAGAAAATTGGTGGCGATGTAACTGTACTAGTTGCTGGCACAAAATGTGATACAGTTGCACAAAAAGTATGTAAGGCCAAAGGTATATCCAAAATTCTCCTTGCAGATAGTGATGCATTTAAAGGATTTACTGCAGAGTCATTGACGCCACTTATACTTAAATTGCATAATGAACTCAAATTTACACATATATTATCTGGTGCAAGCGCGTTTGGCAAGGCATTGCTTCCTAGGGTTAGTATGTAACACATATTTTCAAGAGTGTATTATGTATCAACTACATATATTTATGTTTTATTTGTGTCATATTTAATCTCTATTTATATTTTTGTAATTTAAGATTGCAGCCAAGTTAGATGTATCTCCAATAAGTGATATTATTGATATAAAAACGCCAGATACCTTTGTACGTACCATATATGCTGGTAATGCTATTCAGACTCTTAAGTCTAAAGACAATGTAAAAGTGATATCTGTGAGAAGCACCTCTTTTGAACCATTACCTTTGGAAGGTGGTGAAACTAAACATGAAAGTCTTCCTACTGGTGATTATACTTCAAATCAAGTGCAATACATTAAACAGGAGCTCAGTAAATCTGATAGACCAGAACTGACATCTGCTAAAGTTGTGATTTCTGGCGGACGTGGAATGAAATCTGGTGAAAATTTCAAATTATTATATACACTGGCAGATAAACTCAATGCAGCGGTAGGAGCTTCTCGAGCTGCGGTCGATGCAGGATTTGTGCCAAATGATTTGCAAGTAGGACAAACAGGAAAAATTGTTGCTCCTGTAAGTAAAATTAATAATAAATATACAAAAATAGTATATAAAAAATAGCTGATTAAAAAATTATTTATAGAATTTAGTAGAATAAAGGACTATTACAAGCAATTGTTCAAAATTTTTATCAAATATATATCAATTGATGTTTACGTGAAACATTTTTATGCTCAAATGTATTTCAGCCACATTATGTTACATTGTTAAATAAATATAAGAAGCAATTGTAAATGTATCTCATTTTATTTTTAATAAGTTATATCAATCAGTTCTTATGTTCATTTAATGATATAATATAATGTGGCTGAAGAGACACAAGCATCAAAATGTCTCATGTTTTTATAACATTATTAAACATTAATTAGACAATACATCATTTGGTAATAATTTTTAACAATCGTTTACATAGTGCTATATACTATTTTTGTATAAATGTTTTATTAAATATTTTTTAAAATTAGTAATTAGAAATGCAAAGAAATGCAGAATCTCATTTTAGAATAAATTTATCTCAATCTTTTTGTACATGCACATAAAAAATCTCATGATTATGGTTTCAGAATTTATATATAGCGGTTGGAATTTCGGGTGCAATTCAGCATCTTGCTGGCATGAAGGATTCTAAAACAATTGTAGCAATCAATAAAGATCCAGAGGCTCCCATTTTTCAAGTAGCAGATTTCGGATTAGTCGCAGATTTATTTAAGGCTGTACCCGAACTCACGGAGAAATTGTAAATATTATAAATTGTTTATACATATATAAACATTTGTATTTTATATAATTTTATGATGATGTTTATCGTTATTATATGAATACCCTAGATATCAAACAATGTAAATCCGAAAAGTAAAGACTTTTGTATTTGTTTTTACAAGCAAATGATTTAATTATGCAGGTTTGATTGATCTTGAAAATATACCATTTCGCTATAATTATGATTGATAAAGATTACATTGTCTACATCTCACATCTACTCGAAATTGAGTTTAATAAACTTGCATCACTTGACATCTTATATAAAAAAAGTAATTAAAATTTTTAGTTGCATTGAAAATTTTGTTTTATTTTCCTATTATTTTAAATCACAGTTTGTTTCATGTAATTAATGTAAATATTACATGAAAATATTTTAGAAAGACTAAGTTCTTTACACTATTATTATAAATCAGTTTCATATATAAACATTTGTATTTTATATAATTTTATAACGTTATTTTAGTATTATACGAAAAGATAATTAAAATTTTTATAATTTTATCAAAAATTTTATTTTATCTTCCTATCATTTTAAATATCAATAATTTGTTTCATGCAACATATAAATGTTAAGGAAAAGCTCTTTTTTAACATTTATTTTATTGAAATAGAAATTTAACTGATTGCAATGTGGTGAGGATGGGGGAATGAAAGACGCACACATACATACACAGAATACATCACGAATAGAAGTCAAATGTCCGGTGTTAAACTGTGTTTTCTTAATATTTGTTTTACATATGTATTTAGACAAAAATTAATTTATCTTGAGTGAAATAGAGACAATTTGATATTAGACTAAAAATTTCCTTTGTAAGCATATTTTTATCTATATGTGTGTGCATAGTAAAAATAACATAAATGATTATGAGGTTATATTTTATACAAACGCTTCTTTCAAGAACATTTTTTATATGTATAAAAAATTAATAATCTTTTTTTCTCTCTCTTTCTATAACTTTTTACATCAATCATTAATTGAAATTTGTTATATTTTCATTATTAAATTATATAATTTTCTTAGTTGTACTTCTGTAGTTACGCTTCAATTCTGTGCAGCAATAAATATAGACATAAATTTATAAATAAGTTAAATACGAGTTAATTGCAAAAATGAAAATAATGACATTTCGTAAAAAATTAAAGTATAATTTATAAGTTCAAATAAATGTCAAATTTTAGAAGTATTAAGAAGTATAGCTTTATTATTTTTTGTACTTGGCTCGTATTAATTTTTTATTTAATTTATTTATAATAGAGCTTTATTTATTTCTATTGTTATGTATAAATTTATGTTTAGAAAATGCAGAATATTCGTCAGTGCGTAAAACATTTAGCATTTTATGGTAGAAGTGCCATAAATGGAGCGAATATACTGTCAAACACAGTAAAAATATTAAATCTACCAACATGCAGTTTTCATCTTTCTTCAATATGCAATAAACATAATTTTCAAGGACCGAAGTTATTTCTGAGTCATAACAAGAAGATTTTTCCACCTCAAAAACCAGATGAAGAAAGAAGGCCTGCTGTAAATTTGTTCTTGTTATATTAATGTTAAATAATTGTTTATTTATATCTCATTGTGCATTTATTTTTTCAGTATGTATGTCATATGAAAGAAAATATAAAATATAGCCCAAAAAAAATGTGGTACATTGCTGCTTTTGTGAGAGGAATGTCTGTGGATGAGGCTGTAAAACAGTTGAGTTTTCTGCACATGAAAGGCGCTGAAATTGCTAAACAAATTATACTGGAAGCTCAACGTTTAGCTGTAGAAGAACACAATGTTGAGTTTAAAAGTAACTTATGGGTTGGTGAGTATATGTACAAATATTACTAATATTACTAATCAATGATTAATTATATTGAGTTTTTGTTGTATATCCAAATGCATGTTACAAGTCTTTTAATAATTTAATAATAAACTAATATTTTTACACAGCGGAATCATTCAGCACCAAAGGCGTAGTAATAAAAGGCTTACGACGTCATGCTAAATATCGCAGAGGGATTATTCATTATAGATATTGCCATTATTTTGTACGCTTGGAAGAAGGACCACCACCTAAGCATTACTATTTGCCACATCCTAAGAGTGGTGAAGAATTGTTGGAAGATTGGTTAAAAAATATGCATATGCGTAAAGTGTCGAATTCTTTGTAAAAAATTTGACAAAATTTAAAGTACAAATATATATATTAGAGATATGTACACCTATTTTATATTTTAATAGTTTAATTTTATTTGCACTATCGCAGATACTGAAAATTATGACAAATATTTAATTTTTTTGAGGTTTTAATATATCCATGATTATTCTTAAATTGTACATCATATTGTTATAATAATAATATAATGTAAGTTTCCATCGTCACATGGTTTTTACAACTTCAATTTAGTTCTTCTCCAGTGACGCCTTTTAGCATTGTACCTGAAAGTAAATTGCATGTGATAAGAATAGTCCATAAATTTTTAATATTTGTTAAACTTGAGAATTAATAAATAATTTAACAATGTCTTTATAATATAGGAGAGAAAATAATTTTAAATACATTGTTTCATTCATATTATAATTATAATATTAATAGTTTATATTGAAGACAAATAAAAAAATCAATATGAATTATACAAAAATAACATCAAACAAAATAATTTTATAAGATCATTCTCTCCTTAATTTGTATATTTCCATGATTAAATATAATTGTGATACAATTTCATTCATAGTTTGACACACAGTAGCATTTATATAATTATAAGTAAAAAATCATATAGTATAAACCATAAATCAATATAAATCAGTGAATAAATTAAAATATAAATATAATTTATATTTTATATATTTATTAAACTAATAATCAATAATTATATAAATGCAATGGATCAATTAATATATTAATTAATATTGAATGTACATTAATCCAATATATGCAAGCTCAACTAATTTACGATGGTAATATTTGTTTCTCAGCATACAATGTGTTGATGTACATATTAAATGTGCAGCAAAAAAAATCTTCAATTTATATGTAAAGATATGACGAATTTTTAAAATAATTAAGATTATTTAAAATTATTAAGAGTCTAAACTTACCGGATAGTATTACCAGTCCGCATTCTCACCCATTGTGGAATAGGCCTGTTTTGCTTCAGTTTTTTAGCAAGCTTTCGCTTGATGATAAATGTCTTATGCGCCGACTTAAACATACATGAAACGAAATTAGATAATGAAGATTTAATTCTTCAATATTATCACGTGCAGAATAACACGATGCCTAACGAAATAAATGGATACATTTTTAATAAAACGCAGAACTCACCATCGTCCTTCTCTGGCAGACACACGTGAAGTGAAAGATCGGCTAGTAAAATATCCCTTCAGTTTAGTGCTTTTTGTTTAGTGCAGTTTCGGTGCTTTTATTGCACTCAAATCACGTATCGCATGCGACGACACATAACGACCAATCGTGTCAGACTATTGACGTTTTCAAATGATACGATAGTTTACTAGACGTCATTGACCAATCACAGTCATTCCTCTAAAGAATACAGAATTTTCTGTTTCAACCAATTAGAAAGTCGCAACAAGGACTAGATGTGACTTTACGAATTCTTGTAACGATTAACGCTGATTTGCTGGATCTGAAAGTAAAAACCAATCACGTTTGACTATCACTTTCAGATCCAGCAAATCAGCGTCGAATGTTACAAGATATGAGTTTTCTCTATTGAATGTTTTCTATTTGACAGCTACATGATCTAGGTATAAACATCAGTTTTATTTCCAATACGAGAGTTTTATTCTCAATAAATTATTAATATATATAAATCACGAAATTGATACATAGCAATAGAAACAAAGATTGATAATTGCTTCAATCAAATTACATTGGTAATGTATAATTCTATTATCGTGTTTTAAAAATTGACAGAATAATAAACATTTTTATATCACCATTGTTGTTACAATTTAAATTATATTTATATAACACTCGAGAAGTCATCTATCAAAATCACAAAGTATCTCAAATATTCTGACATTTCATATGATTTTGCATATAAATCTTTTTTCTTTTTTTTTCATAGAAATATCCATCTCTCTCTTGGTGCGTGCATTTTATGTCACACATTTCGCTGCATGGAAATATATGGATTCAAAAATTCGAAAGTCATTCTAGAAAGCATACGTCACAGATATCACGTCGAGCAACGCTCTCTGCGATAATTTTGATTGGCCAACGGAACACGGTTCAACATGGAGTACGTTGGTACGTTGCTAAATCCTGTTTATTTTTCATGTGCTTTCTCGTAAAAATTTTTCGCCCCTCAGCTTCCTTTTCGTCGCCTTTCCCTTTAATCGCGTAAGAAACAAAGCTAGCCGATTAAATATTTCGCGATGTTCCGTCAAAATGCATTGTCATGTGTTTGTGTACGTCAGATAATTTTATGACCTTTTTACTCTCTCTATCTCTCTATCTTCCTCTCTCCCTCTCTCTACGCTTGTTTTTATCGAAAGTTTCTTGGTGTGCAACATTTGTAGATTATCATCGATTTCCCGATGCAGCAATGTACGTTTCTCTTTTTTTTTTTTTGAAATATACATATTTTTCTCAAGAGTGGATACAACTCGAAACGTTTAACCTTTCATAGTTTTCGAAAAAAAAATAACGAATATCGCATTATTTCGAAACTCACTCGTACAAATTAGTTGATGTGGACAGTAATCATTTGCAATTTTTAAGGATTTCTCTGTTATTTTTCTAGATACAGTAAAGAACGACGACAATGATAGTTGTTGCAACTCGTCCACGTGTTCGGAAGTCGCGTCGAATCCAAAATCTATGGAAAATTTGGGAACAGATACAAAGGAACTTACAATGGAGCAGGAAAACAACATTGACAAATCACAGGATACAACGGCTTTGCAAGAACCATCTACGGAGAATATAAGTTTCACAGTGATTTACAACAAACGCAAGATTAGCGTGAATTTTGCTTTGGATGGTACAGTCGCTGAATTAAAGACGCATTTGCAGAAAATTATCTCAGTGCCGCAGGCAATGCAGAAAGTTATGTTTAAAGGATTAGCCAAAGATGATCAGACTCTTAGGAATTTGGGAATAACGAAAGGTAATCTTAGAGTTATAGCTTAAAGTTGTCGACAAAATATTTTTTCATTTTAAGTTGCATAAAATTTTGTTCTCTAATTTTATAATTTTCTTCTAATATTTAAGGTGCCAAAGTTATGATAGTTGGATCCAAGTTAGACGATGTATTAGCTGTGTCAATCCCAACAAAACAAGATCTCATTGATGAAGCTGTTTCTTCAGTGAGCAAAGAACCTCTTTCACAACAGAAAGTGCATAGGAAAGTTTTAGATAAAGGTATTCCAGAGGACGTGATGCCAGGAATACTAGATAGTAAGGTATAATTTTTATAAAATATATTATACATGGTGACCCTTAAATATGTTACGAAAATTAAAGAATTTCTTAGATGGTTATGAAGAAAAGTTTATGTATACTTTTATCATGATCAGCTTAATTCTGAAAATACGAGATGTTCAAAAATTATATTTTTTGAAGATGGTTTCAATTATTCTCTTGAAATTTACTGTATGCTAATTGGAATTAGTGTTAATTGGATTTTAGTGATTGGAAAATTCTAATATCATCAATGATGCACAAGGGCAGTTATTGAGGACAGATTATTAATAGAAACACTCTAATTAATTAGAAACACTCATTAGCTACTATTAGCACATAATAAATATAAAAAAAATATCATTTTTTTGTTGAACATCCTGTATCTCTTAAACTAAATCATTTAAGATAAAAATGTATTTAAACTTTTTTCATAAAATGATCTAAAAAACTACTTCAATTTTCGAAATATATTTAAAGACTACTATATATACATATATATCTATGATAAAACTATAATTGATGCCAATTAATGATATATATAAATATATACATATATATAGGAACCTTTGCCTGAATTTCCATTAGCTGGAATGTTAAACAAATCTGGAGGGAAAGTTAGATTAACATTTAAATTGGAGCAAGATCAACTTTGGATCGGTACAAAAGAAAGAACAGACAAAATACCTATGAATTCAATAAAGGGTGTTCACAGTGAACCTATTCACGATCATCCCGAGTATCATATTATGGTACATATATTGTATTTATATTAGGTTTACTATTATGCTAATTTGATGATTATTGTCTCATGGCTAATCTAATAATAATCCTTGAAATTTGTAGGCAATACAATTGGGCACTACGGAAGCATCAAGATATTGGATATATTGGGTCCCTGCACAGTACATATCTGCTATCAAAGACGCTATTCTTGGCAAGTGGTGTTACTTCTGATTGATTCGCTGGAAATTTCAGTTTCTGTGAAAGCAAAATTAAATCAAGTGTAAACATTGATACAAATACTGCTGTTCCATCGACACAAAAACTGTCAGCTAGTCACACACATTTTTAACAGTAAGTAATAATTTATTTTGAGTTGCATTATATTCATCGAGAATACAATAAATATAGTCTATCTTGCTAAGAAAATAATTTAGGTAACAATAAGTCTTGATTTAGAGAGAAAAAAATGTAATCACACTATATATGCCAATGTTTTATATTTTCATAGCCAAGATTTAAGTGTACTCTGAATTTTCTACACAGCTGAATGTAAGTTAGACAGTCTTTTACACAAGAACTGTGATTAGTGGAACTTCCATAATAATGTGTTGTGATAATATTATATGCGTCTTTGAATTTATGATTAAATTTTTTGTTTTTATTTTATCGAAGTGTCGTATTTATAGATTTTTTGAAATTTGCAAATTTTATTCAAAATTTGTAAAAATATGTATGTATGTTGCATGTGTGAGTGTGTGAGATTCTATTGATAAAACTTTCTCGAAATAAAAATGTTATTTTGATGTATGGATATTCTGATATAAAAGTTATAATTGGATTAAAATATTAATTGAAGTAAAATATTTTAATTATATTGATGTATTATTTATTCAATATTTTTATAAAATTCCATTTCATAAATCAGTTAACTCTTTTGCTACAAAGGTGCATATGTGTGTGCATGCATGCAAAACGTGCGTGCATGCGCGCGCGCGCGTGTGTGTGTGTGTGTGCGCGCAATAATTTTCTTGAAGAACATATACTTTCTGCAAAATTTATAATTAAAAGTATAAGGAAATAATATTTCTCTATCATCTCTGTTTCTCATTCGCTATCATCTATCTTTCATTCTTTTACATAGCGTTTCCTGTCATAAAGATGTAGCAAAAGAGATAAAATCATAATACTACATTTACAAGCAAATCTTGTGAAGCAATTATTTATGCAACCTATGATTCTCATGTTACTGTTCATTTATTTTTACAATTCGCTCAGTTTATGTATGTACGTGTGCATGTCAAATAATTTAATATGATGATACTTGTGTATGTGTGTATATATATATATATATATATATATATATATATATATATATATATACCTCTACACAATTTAAAAACTGTATGAGGTCTGCTTTTGATACATGTTCAATTTTAATAATTCTTTTTTCTTAATTTCTGCAACGAAAAAATATTTTTTTTTACTGAGTTTTCTTTAAAGATTTTATATACAGGGTAATATACAAAATTATAATATAAGCGAAATTATTTTTCATGCAAATGTAAGTTGCAAATTTATAAATAGAATAAAATTTCTTTATAAAGCTTTGTTTTTGAAAAAATCTATTTTAAAAATCTATGTATATCAAATGTGTATATGTGTATATATCAATGAATCAACCCAACTGACAATTATCTTTATTTGTATTTGTAAACATATGCAATTTGATATGCATCAAAGTAGTTTAAAAATAATTGTATTTATTTCATTAAATTACTGAAAATGTCGCATACAAAATTGGCGGATTAAAATAGCGTAAGCTGACAATATTCCAAAATTTCTTTGAATTCCTGTATAATATAATAATTGAATATTGTAATTATCTTGCAATATCTTTATATCTTTATCTTGTAATATCTAAGTATTGATACATAATTCAAATATAGTTTAATAAGAACGATAGCGGATAAGTCAATGTGAGTTATGATATTATTTGCAAATATGAATAGAAATAATTGTAACGTGGTCCGTTAAAGCAATTCTCGTCTAGTCTTACTCAAGTGCATATCTATTCGACGTATCTTTTCAAAATTGAAAACGAAGATTCGCGCAGATTTTCTCAAAAATGAAGCTTTATTGAAAACAAAATTTCATTCTACATTTATAATTTTGCATGACGAATTATTTGCATTTCGCTTGTATTATGATTTTCATACTCCCTTCATATATATAGAGTGTAATGGAAAAAACTTTGAGACTGAGTTTTGCATACCAAAACGATAAAAAATGAATTATATGAACAATTAAAAAAATTTCTTTATAGAGAATAATCATTTAAAAATCCGAAATTGTATATCTCCTCTTATCATTAACATAAATACACAGTAATAATTTTGTTACTCTGCCTACAAATGCGAATGTTGAATCCGATCAGCTTTAAACATTTCTCATTTAATATATTTTCAGTATCAAGATATTTCACCTCTGATTTCTATGAATCTATCAGATGGTGTGGATTTAAGACCCTGTATATACTTCTTTTTTTCACACAAGCTATAGCGTATATTATTTCGTCATTAATCAAAGCAGTTCTCGTGAATAAAAAAAATGGATTAACAAAATTTATCATATTAACTTGACAAGAGTAACAATGAATATTTCACGCTTATGATAAAATTTTAAAGAATCTATTCATGACCTATGTTATGATTGGCCTAGTAGTAAAAAGTAACAAGTATCAAAGACAAAGGTCAGACCAAGTCCATTATTATGACAGGATCTATGAGAATTATATATGAAAAATCTATGTACGTTCTTTAAGTTAGGTTTTATAACCGTTTGTGTATAAGAGAATAATTGCGCGAATAAGATGAAAATCAAAATTTGCAGTGGGTAATTCATATATGCAATTAATAACTAAGGAACATTTGCGTCAAAGAAAGAGATTTACTTCGGAAATCGAAGGTTTGAATGGGACTTGTACATTACGTGTGTGTGATTTGATAAAATAAATACTTCTGAGACTTTGTTTTTTAATGCTTTTCTATGTTTTTAATTAGAATTTTAAACCCAACTAGGTATAAGAAGAGTAATAATGGAAGAGGAGTAATTTTAAACCGCATATCTTGTCGACGCTACATGAAAGGTTCAGAAGAAGAACCAGGATCTTTTCAAGATAACACTGCAATATAGCTCTGATGAAATAGTTTTAGATTATATTGTATTAAAAGAACTTGCTTAAGTCGAAGGAAAAAGCGATGCGTGCAGAGAAAGAATACGTTTAATCACATTAAAAAGGAATTTTTGATTTTTATATAAAAATATACATTAATCTAATAAAATCATACATCAGGTTGAATTATCAAGATTATTTTAATGCTTCAAAATCATATCAGAATTTATTTAAAAAATTAAATAACTTTAAAAAACTATTGTAAAAGTGACATAAAGTGACTTGGTGCGTTCTTTCTCTGAATCCTTCACATGAAAAATATTTTTAAAAGTGCACCCTGCGTATGTATTTGTGTGTGTTGTGTGTTGTGTTTGTGTGTCTATCCACGTGCAAGCTATTTTTCTACTAGAAACGGAAAACATCTGTTGAACACGCTACGCAGGAAACATCTTGTTAAAGTACTTAGCTGCAGCTTCCATTCGTAAGACAGATGTGAATGGCATTGGGAGGAGAAATCCCCACCAACAGAGTGATGAAAGTCTTCTGCTGTGTAATCAATAGAGCAGTTTTGCAGCTCTCGCTGTCGCGTATATGTAGCTCAAGGTCGAGCAAAATGTGGACTTGATTATAAGTTGTATAATTATATCGTAAATATTATTTGATGGTGTTTTATGATCACACGTATGATCTGTTTTCGCGTATACAGGGTGCTCCTAAAGTGACTATCCTATTTTGGTGAAATTAAAGGCATTTTAACAAAATTATTATACACATTCATGTCTATTATTATACATTAAATTCATGTATTTATGAAAGTTCAGTTGCTTGTGTTTTGCAAAACATCGCGTTGATTGAAGAGACTGTGTGTGTGTATATTTGATGAGATCGCCAGATAAAAACTAATAATTAAATTAGGCTTATAAAAGTATGTATTTTGTTTATATATTTTTTTTCTTTTTTTCTATCATATCAAAGGTGCTTTTCCTATTTCACAAAATAGATGGATATTTTAGGAACACCCTATGTATATATATATATAGATAAATAATCACTTAACAAATATAATAATAATCATTATTATATATTATTTGATAGTGTTTTATGAATCATGATCTGTATAAGAATTGCTGTGTCATGACATATAACACGGCAAGACATCGTTCAGAAAGAATGTTGAACTTATAATTTGATTCGAGGTTCCACAATCTTTTCACGTGAATGTAAATAAACAGTTCATATCAAATTCTAAATAAAGTAATGATTCATGTACAATACAAATATACATATTTGTACCAAGGAAGAAATAATAAACGTAAGTACAAATACGAGCGATGTTCACGAAGAACCATATTAATATTACTATTGATATCGAAATCCAATCCAAATTATATAACAAATATCGTCTAATGTAAAGAATATGTGGAATATACTGAAATTTTGATTTATTTCACAGTAAAGAAGAAGAAATCAGCTTGTTAAGGAAGCTATATAAATGAAGAAATTAGCTCGTTAAAGGAAGAAGCTACATAAATGAAGCTATTCGTAGCTTCTTGCGGAAACAGAACGAAAGAGCGATCGAGTATTATATTTAAATTATCATGACAGGATGGCAGTGACAAACAACAACAACACGGAATTCATACGAAAAACATTTCTGAAATTAACCGAAAATTATATCCAACATGGAGCCACATTGAAGGATTTAAAATCCATCACTAGGACAATCGACAATATGAAAAATGGGACAAATCGTAGCTTCAAGAAGAAAGTACTGCTGATGTTATTTGTGTTGCTTTTATGCGGCATTTTCAACAGATACTTTAATACTATAATTAAGATGTTTCAAGAGACCCGATGCCTGCTGCCGAATAATTATCTAGTGTGGGAGTTCACGAGATCGATATCGAATTGCGATTATTGCCGGGATGTTAAGGCGCCGTTGATTCTGCCGAACTTGACCAGGGAGGAATTTCGTCCTTACGCCTATTCGTCCCGGCCTATGATAGTAAAGGATGCGATCCGCGACTGGCCCGCACGCGATGCGTATACCTTGGAATTCTTTCGAGATTTGTACGAGCAAGTCGAAGGCGCGTACGAATCGGTGGAGGAGGAGTGCCAGTTTCTGCGCTTCAAGAGCGACTTCGCGAATCTGCGCGAGGTGTTCGCGATGAGCGAAGCGCGAGCGCTTCATCGGGAGGGCGAGGACCCCTGGTACGTCGGCTGGAAGAATTGCCATCCGCGGATCCTGGACGGCATGAAGCGTTTTTATAGCGTGCCTCATTTCCTGCCGGATGACGCGGAAATTCCGTGCAGCAACTATATCTTCATGGGTTACGAGGAGGGTGCCGTCATGCATGTGAGTTTTTTATTTGAAGAGAGAGAAGGAACAAAATTTATTTTTCATAAAATGCGATTTTTTTTTGGAAAAATAAGCATATCTTTTTATTTTATTTTTTTTTAAATATTTAATATATTTATATTTTAATTATTACAAGTAACTGATTTTTCGCTATTTTTCTTTCAAATGATAGATTTGAATTATTGCTATTTTAATTGTTTATTTTAATCGCACTTCAATTGGCTATATAGTTGTGTAATTATTACTTTTTAATTGAGTAAATTCTTTTAAAATAAACTAAACTTGAATTGTCTTTGTTATAGTTAAAGTTATAAAAACATAGTTTATAACTTTTAAAAATAGATTTTAGTCTATTTTAATATAATAAAAAAAATTAATTCATATATTCTTTTTTTCTTGGAAAGTAATTTTAATAGATTAATGGGATTTTTACGATTAAAATATCAAAATATGAATAAAGATACGAAATTTGACAAAATTTGGATAATTTTCAGTTAGCTGCATAATAAACATTTCTCAATAAAGAAATTTCTCTATATATGAGAACATAAATTTGCGACATAAAAACCAGACACGGATGATAGACATTAATTTAATCGAAAATTAATTTTTTTAATAAAACTAATTAATGCACAGGATACACAAATTTTTCTTGGTCTATAGTGTGTAATTAAAAAGTCTCAATTCGAGATTTTTAATAAAATTTTCTTTAGTCCTTTTACGGAAAGTATACAAATTTTTGTTATGCATCTAATTGAAAATTATCTGAATAATGTATCGCAAAAATCTCATTAATCCATTAAAATTATGTTCGAAAAAAAAAATAATTTGTAAATATAAGAATTTAAAGAGTTCTTTTTATTATATATATATATATATATATATATATATATATATATATATATATATATATTAACAGAAAATATGAAGAAAAATAATATTAGTAAGAATAATAAAAATATTAAATTAATTTTTTTTCAATGAAGAGAAGGCTCTTTTTAACATTTGTTTTCTATTAGAAAAAAACTTTTCATCTTTAGACATAAACTCTCTTGAAATTGTATTACACACACTTATAAATATTTCCAATTATTTTTTTTTTATAGCTGGATTATATATCGAGACTCATGTGGCAAGCTCAGATAATAGGTACTAAAACGTGGATCGTGGCTCCAACGCCAGAATGCGATAGCGAATGTACATCTTTTAAATTCACTGTTGATGCAGCGGATATTGTATTGTTAGATACGAGGATTTGGTATCACAGTACTCACATTGAAAATGGAAATTTGAGTTTGACAATTACTTCTGAATATGGGTAGGCTTAGAAGAAGCCGTTTTATACGCCCATTATTCTCAAATATTATATATCTATATATAACGTACAAGCTGCTTAGACAGGACTCTAAGCATACTTTTTTATCATTTCGCAGATATCATCAGAGACTGATTACGATCTAGTATTCGATATAATAGTATTTGTATCAAATATTTCATTATTTAATGCTACGATTTTTCTACCATTTAAATAAGTAAAGTAATATTATAAAAAGAAAGATATTTAAATACATTTTAAATGATTAGCTATATTCCAAAATATTATAATATAGCTTTATAATAAGCTATTTTTTGTAAATAAATCAGTTTCTTTTCCTCTCTAATTATAAGAGAAATAATTTTGTATGAAATATATCTCGAAGATCGCTATTGATCTTTGTTTTTATATTCGACTATATTGTTTGTAGCATCATGTTGTTAATATTATGCATTTTTGTAATTTTTAATAAAAGTTTCGAAAAGATCAATACATGTGTTGACAGCGAATTTGCAATTGTACAAATAGTTTACATATTTACATGCGTGTAAACATTTATTCTTTATATAGATTCGCGTGAAACAATAACAATACAATTTCAAGAAATAACATGTACATAAGAAGTAATTTTAAATACTCGCGTTAATACATAGTTGCAAATACCTTACAATATATAATGCCTGTGCTTTAACGTTGCATAGCGCTGTAACAATAGTAGCATTCATCTTCAGCCTTCATCTTGAATCTACGCATTTTGAAAATTCAAGAATTGCTGTATAATGAACATAGTGTACATATGTCTGAAATATTAAATACACGACAACATACAATTTTGCAGTATTCGTCTAAAGTGGAATGCATATCGATTGCACTATATAATTCACTTGCAACAAATATTCACTGATACTTCTTAGCATAAGCCGGCGGACTTTCCTGAAATGATGAAAAAATTTATTACATATATCTAAGATCGAGAGATTTCAAATATACAGGATGTTCATAAATAATGTAAAATCATACTAAAATATAAAATATTTTATAAACTATTCAATTTTTGATCATCTTATTCTTACAACTTTTGACGTCGAATATTGCGAAGGATCGATTTATTGTATATAAAAAAAATTATGCCATTTCAACTAAAAAAAAAATAGATTTCTCTTCACATGACCTTGAATAATGATGTCAATTAAAATTCAAGATTATCATATTTTTTTCTCTCTCGAAATCGTATACATTTTTTGTATAATATTAAGTTTTGGAGAAATCTTGTAACACTTTATGTAACACAACCTGTTTGTATTGTTTTGTAATACAGTATGTGTGTGTGTGTGTGTGTGTGTGTGTGTGTGTGTGTGTGTGTATGTGTAAAATCTTCCTAATCTAAAAACTAACAGTACAGTGATTATATGAATGTAGAACAGTAATTATATTAATGTAGATAGTATAATTAGATAAGAACGATGATCAAAACTTCGATATTTTTTGATTTTATAAATTTTTTTAGATAAAATAATCTCTTTCACAATAAAAAAAAACCGACAAAAATTATAATATAATAGAATAAGATGAAAAATATTTTGCTTTGTGTATTAAAGGAACAAATGATTTATATGCATTTGAAAAAATAATTTCTTTCGTGAATTGTGTTTAAAAAAATTAAAATGATAAATTTAGGTTGCCATTACAAATTAATATTTTATATGTATATCTAAAAAAATGTAATGCTTACGTAATATTCTGGTGGTGGAACGTAAGCGCATTGAGGTCTATTAGGATCATAATATGCGCTCTGCGCAGCTTCAGCGGCTTTTGCATCTGATAAATAAAAAAAAGATAATATCGAATATATGTCGAATAATACTTTGATACAAATTGATACAAATTAATAATATATTACATTTTGCTGTCGCATTAAATTTCAATGACAATTTTTTGCAAAATTAAAAGGTGATTTCTTTCCTTAATAACGCTCATAAAATCAGCTTTTTGCTAATATTAAATTTTATGATGCAAATAGATAAGTATATTTATTTTAACGATTTAATAAATTGTGTACAGAAATTTAACATAAGAATTTAAAAAATTGCAAATGATTACTATTTAAAAAATTCTCATTTCTCATTCAAGAAAAAAACTGAGGATTTCTGACAAATCATTAATAAAATTCAATGCGATAACAAATTATTTTGTGGGATTCATATATTTTTTTAACATTATTAATATTAAAATATTAATGAAATACATACAAATATTATTTCTATTTGATGCACTGAATTTATCTTTCTTTGGCATAATTTTAAATATTGTCGAAAGTTAATTGCTATTTTTTTCTATGGGTGTTTATCAAAAATTAATATAGTTAAGTGTATACAAAAACGTATTTAATAATTATTAAACATCATAATAATGTGTTATATAAAAATATAATTTTTATGACGGCAAATTCTAAATAAAGGACCTTAAATTCGTTGTATTCACCTCTATTTTTTATTTAATATATTTATCAGATTAGATGTAAATCATTTATTTCGTCAATAACAAAAAAAATCTTTGTTTATGCACCCATATATAAAAAAAAGTATGGAAAGTTCACAATGTATTATAATAAGAAGCAACTTAAGACACAGAAACTCTACTATATCTATCTGTTCAAGTCGTTTCGTACTATTAACTGACAACTATGTGATATTAACTGTGAGCAAAGTGAAAGCCAAATCCTATTTCAGATCAACAAGGACGAATTATGCAATCGCGTTGCTTAATGTTTACAACTTTTAAATTTACAGAATCGCCACATTAATTTTTTTTAAGCTATTTAATGCATTCAATTATTTTCATATCTTTATTTTGAAGAGAAATCTCTCACATTGATAGGTTTGAATAAAACAGCAAATTATCTTTAATCAATATTTAATACTATATATATACATATATATATATATATATATATATATATATATATTAATAATACGTCTAATATAACTATAATCTTATGAAATACATATAAATTGTTTGTTATGTTCAAATAAATTGTGAAAGAGATAGCATAATTAAAAAAAAAAAAAAAAAAACTTTTGCAAATACAAATATCGTTCTCGAAGAATATTTAAAATATTCTTTTATAATTTTTCCAAATATTATATTGCATGTTTATATACAAAATATTCGGAAGTAACTTGTTGTTTAAATTCGGTGTAACGTTTTTTAGAATCTCTGAGAAAAGCGTTCATAATATATGTATATATATATTAATTTAATAGTGTCTTCATAAAACTCTCAATTTTAACGAGAAGCATCTGATATATAGATATATAGATATACATGTACATTTTGTTACAATTCGTTAGTATGGAGGTGGGTATGGATAAGATCCCGGCTGTTGATACGATCCAGGTTGTGCATAGCTGCTTTGCGGATACGCCGAGTACGGTGGTGGATTAGGTGAATAACCGCTATAAGGCGGTTGTCCGTAACCGCCGGGATACGCACCTGCTTGAGACATCGGCTGGCCGTTGTAATTCGGATTAGCCCATCCGGGAGATCCTGACTGTCCCATACCTACACCTCCGGCACCTTGATGCGGCGGCCCGCTTGCATATCCATATCCCGGCTGTATACCGGGATACGGTGGCGGACTATCCGTCACAAAGACCGTATTTCCTAGAAAATAAAAGAAACAATTTATCATATATATATATATATATATATATATATATATATATATATTGAGATAAGATAATATAAAAATTTGCATATAATATCTATATGCATATAGAAAGATAATTGATACAAATTTTGAAATGATGCAAATAGTTTTTCTCATTAATAATGCAAATTTTTATATTATCTTATTTTTAACATTATATAATAAGTTGAAAATAAAGTTTGAAGAATATGAGAATAAAATTTGAATAATTTAGTTATTTTTACTGAGAGTAAGCATTTAGATATTGTACACTGAATATGTTACATGTGAAGGTAAATACCTGAACATTTTTTATGTGAGATAAATATAAGTTTCTTTAGAAACGTGTTCAAAGAAAATGTAAAGAAAAAAATTGAAATGTTTGAGAAGTGAGACTGGTTCAACTATTTCTTTATATTAGTGATGATTGAGAAGACTATATCTCTCCTTCTCTCTCTCTCTCTCTCTCTGTTAAATCTTATTATAAAAATCTATTACTGTTGCTTAATATGCATGATTTAAAAATCTATTTAAAAAAATGTATTAAAGAAAAGACTATTCTATATCAAGCAGAATTTAGTTGTTTAAAATAATGGTAGTATGATTACCAAAGAGGTACATTCAGGTCATATAAAATATTTCTTTTTATAAAAATGAGTGAATATTGGGAACTGAAGAATTGATATTCAACCTGGTGGAACATCGGGAAATACATTGGTTGGAGGTATCCATCCATAATATCCAGTTGGTGGAGGCTGATAAGCTGAAGGTTGCGCAGGATACCAATCGGATAATGGAGGGGTATATGGTGGTGGCGCATCATTGGAAGGCCCATTGCGTTGAGCTAAAAGTCATATAAAAAACATAACTAATACATTTAATATTTTACAAGAAAATTGAAATGATAAAAATTCTTCTTATCAATAGTATCATATCAGTGATAATGCTATTGATTCTATTGTTATCTGACTACATGAAGAATATATATAAAATCAGAAATAGCTTAATTTCATTGTATATTATTAATTGCAAACATATTTTATTTATTTATCTTAGCAAACAAAATTAAAAGAATGTATCTTATTTATTTTTTTATCTCACCCATTGACGCTACTCTCAACAAAGCTTGCGCAAAATCCACTGCTCCTCCGCTCTTGAATCGTAACTTAAATTTGCATTCTCCGATCCAGTTACCATTCGGCTGGGCACGGCACTTGCCACCTATATAATTTGCCCCGAATACTGGTTGCTCCAATCCAACTTCGCTCAATGTCACAAATGGAAAGCTGAAGGACAGCATCCTGTCCCTTTGGTCCTTGGAGTTAAAAATCATTCTATGCGTCGTCAAGTACAATCTGCCTTGCTTCTTCCCGATGAATTCCGGCTGCTCCTGTCCGTGAAATTCCATCGTGACATTGTCGGAGAAGAGTATAATGCTGAAAAAAAAATTACGTACATGTGAAGAATTAATCAAATAAAAATTTGTATGCAATTTTACTCGTAAAGTTTATAAATTTATCTCGCTTAAACGACTCGAATTGCATAAGTGTGTAATTATAATAGGCTGATTCAACAAGGACGTTGGCGATAAAATAATGATTATTAAAGGCTATGACGATATTACGTGTTATTGCACGTTAAACGTCACGTCAAGAATATTCGAGATACATGTAACTTTGCGGATAAAATAAATTCCGTATAATTTGTCAAAAGATCTCACCATTCACCTGCGTGGAGAAGAACTCCACCGTTGGTATGCGCCGTGTTCAATGACATATTTCTTTATGTCAAAAATATATGACGGATAACAAACACTTCGATGACTGTCGTAAGATCCTTTTTTAAGAACTTCAAAGTCACGACATGCGAAAAAGTTTTAATCGTAACTGTAAGCACATCGATCAATCACAGTTAAATATTCCTACTACGTTTCAGAATGCTGGACTGTGATTGGTCGACTTGCTTACAGTTACCACTAAAACTTTTCACGCGACGTGCCTTTGAAGAGAAAAGAGAGGCCCAATTTACATCAATGGTTTGATACGCATTTTAAAAATTAATAAATAATTAGTAAATGGCTAATAAACTCATTACTTGATACGAGTATCAAACGATCGGTAAATTAGATCAGAGAGAGAGGGGGAGAGAGAGAGAGAAAGAGAGAGAGAGAGAGAGGAAGTTGGCGTTTTCTCTATTTTATCATTTCAAATCTAAGATTCTAGATTTAGATATATTTGTCTTATTTTAATATATACTACCGTTTAATTAAACAAATATTTGCCTCAATTAATTTCAATCAGAAAGAAGAATAAGAAACGTCATAGGTCACTTCGGTAATCATCACTTGGGTAATTCCTAAAGGCGCCCTCTGAAATAAAAACGTGGACACGAACTACGAAGCTAATCATGAATGTTTTCAGTAGGTAACATAATTTTGGGTTATTCCGTCGGTAACACAAGTATCGATAATGCAAAACACTAAATTTTTAATACAAATCTAAAGTTTTGAGTAGTCTTTCTCTCCCTGTATTGATAATATAATTAATTATTAATATATTCCTTGATACAATATATTAATCACACATCATCCACCATCACCATTGCCACCGCCATCTTTACGTGATCTTTATCACAATGATTCATCATTGAAAATAAAGTATAACACAAAAAATATTCTTTATTTATAAATATTAAAATTAAAATAAAACATTGGCTCAAATAATAATAATTAAAAATTAATTAAAAAATTGACAAATAGAGCCAATAAAGCCTAATTGGAGCGCAAAAAGAAACCTTCCTCTTTCTTTTAATTATTAATATATTTTAAATTACAATACATGCAATAAACACGAATGTTTCGGATCATTTTTTGATTCATCTTAATATTACATTATATTATTAATATTATAACATAATATTACATATAATATAATATTATATACGTCAATATTACGCGTTATAAAATATAAAAAAAGATGACATGAAACGTCTGTGATTATTGCATGTATTGTAACGAATAATATGAAATATGAATTTCTGTATAATAAAAATTGTATAAATAAAGACAATTTTTACATTAAAAATACATGAAAAATATGTTTCTGCAAACTCGCAAAATTTAAATTTTCGCGCGCCGTGTGATTTCTCCTTGCCGAAGAAAGAAGAAAAGCGCAGAGACCGGATATCGGATATCCGAATACCCGGGCATCGGTCAGCATGAAAATTCGGCGCGCGCAGAAATCAATGCTGTAATTGTCAAAGCATGCGCTCGAGGGTAGAACGGGAGAACCCGGCATACGCAGTACGAGGGAATAAATAACACAGTAATCATAGTGCGCGATTAAAGGACCTCGGGCGAACAGGAAGCGAGCACTCGCCGCAAGCGAGGAAGCTGCCGAACGCGAACGCGCGAATCCGCGTTCGCGAGCCATGGACTCGTAAAGAAGATTATCGAGTTCGTCGCCGCCAGATCGTCGATCTCCTCGAATCCTCCTCCCGCTCCGATTTTTCTTTTCGAATTGCAATATGGACGAAAACTTGAGCCGGGGATATGTCCAACTGGGCAAGGCCAGGGGCATGAACGAGTTCAAATTTTCGAATGGATTCACGCATCTCTCGCCGCCTGTCGACAAATGCAACTTCATTTACATGGCTCTGATTCTTGGCGGCATAGGATTTCTTCTACCTTACAACAGGTCTCCTTTTGCACAGACGTGCATTATTAATTCTCACACATGCATATCCTTTGTGTTGATTATTGAGAATTGAAAATCTCTTCGCAGACTAGTCCTTTTATTTTTCAACAACTGGATTGCTTCAAGAGAATTACTAATAATAATTTAATCGTATCGTCGTGATATTTAATGCAATTGATGTTCTATCGTAAGCGATTTTTAGTGGCTTTTACGAAAAACTTTATTTAATAATTATTCTAAATAATTTAATAATTTATTTAATAATTATTCTAAATAATTTATTTAGTAATTATTTAATAATTATTCTAAGTAATTATTTAATAATTATTAATTTTAGTAATTATTTAATAATTATTAAATTATTCTAATTTATTTAATAATTATTTGAGGTAATTTATTGGTTTAATATTTATTTGAGGTAATTATTCTAAGTAATTTATTTAATAATTATTCTGTAAAGAATTTTTTTATTCATGGCATGTTTTTGTCATATCAAATTTTGTGAAACATGCATCTTAAATTTTTGTTATAAAATCTTTGCAATTTTTATATTGACAATTATGTAATTGTTTTTTACAGTTTCATTATAGCAGTAGATTATTTTCAAGCAAGATATCCAGGAACTACCGTGATATTCGACATGTCTGTCGTTTACATTATTATGGCTTTCTTTGCAGTCTTTGCAAACAATATATTGGTCGAAACCTTATCGCTGAATACACGAATCACGTTTGGTAAGATATGCGAAGAATACATAAAGTTAATCAAACTATATTAGAGTGAATATTATGACAATAATATAATTAATAATATAATTAATAATTATGGAAATATTAAATGAGTTTTAGAGTTTTTTATAAAATTATTTGTAATAATATTATATGTGTACAATTTTTTATATTCTTTGAAAATATTATTTCGCATATACTTTATGTATAATTTTTAATAATTAGATTTTTGTATGATTTATTATTTATTTGAGATGATTTGATAATAAAGATTATTTTAATCTCTCTGAATTAATATTGTCATTTAGTTTCTTAATAAAAATAGATTGTGTCGAACTATAATCGTTGCTTCAATTTATTTATATATGGTAAGAAAATGAGATAGCAAAATATACATAACTTAATCTTTATTTTGTAGGATATCTAGTTTCCTTTGTTACTCTGAACTTTGTGGTGATCTGCGAGATTTGGTGGGAACTCTTCGGTGTTGCAACTTCCTATACTATTAATTTAGTTGCCGTTGCAATAGTATCACTTGGTTGTACAGGTACAGAATTAAAGAAATTATTAATAATTTATTGATTAATATCTCAGATCAAAGGAATATTCGGAAATCTAATTTTCCGACTAATTAATAATAATATAATTTATTTGTGGTAAATATAATTTAAGAAATATTGTATGTAAATATTGTATATGTGTGTATATGTATATAATTATGTGATAACTTTTCACGCTCTTTGCCTTAATTTTTAGTTACGTTATATATTAAATCTGATTAAATTAAAATTAGCAACATTTTTTTGAACAAATTCCATTAATTGTTAATTCTGCAAAAATCTTATATTTTCTTATATCTTATTTTTTTTTATTATAGTTCAACAATCGAGTTTTTATGGATACACATCAATGCTTCCCAGTCGATATACTCAAGCTGTGATGACTGGAGAAAGTGAGTCTTTGCGTACATTTTATGAGTAATTATAGTTTAGCAAAACTTAGTATTAAATTTGAGAAATCGAAAAAGATTTTTCTTAATAATTTTATAAAAAAAGAAATTTTTTTAAAAATATATATTATAGATAATATTACGAATAATATGCTGCTCTTTCAGCCCAACTCTGGAACATATTATATAATATATACAAAAATATTTTATTGCATTTTTTTAGGTGTTGCTGGCTTTTGGGTATCAATTAATCGAATAATAACAAAATCGTTACTCAATGATGAGCGTGGTAATACATCCATGTTTTTTGTTCTGTCGAATATGACGATCTTGTTGTGTTTTGTTTTACATCAAGTAGTACGGAAGACAGACTTTGTGCAATTTTACATAACATTATGCCAAGAAAGAAACCGGATCACTTTGGAACCAACAGAAGATGTCGGACTGGTATGTAATTGTAATCATAATATCATGTAATTACTTCATTTATAATAGAAGGCAGATAAAAAAATAAAATTCCCTATTTTATTACAATTATTTTTAGCATTTATGCACAAATTAGACTGTGTTAAAATATAAGCTAATGAGCTATTTTTCAATATATTCTTCAAGAAGATGATTGATGCACTTGTTTTGCACGAATTTGAAAATGCTTCCTTGATAAAAATTCAACTTTTGATATTTAAATCATTCTTGAAATAGAATGTTTCAATCAAATGATTACAAAAGTTCCTGAGTTTGATGCAGAGTAAGATTTCACATTATCATGAGAAAATTTGATAAGAAAGAGGTCTAAGATTTGCTTCAGAAAAGGTCATGCTTCTATCTTTGATTCATCTCCTTGATGCAAAAAATGCTTTTCAAGAATAATTTAAATATTAAGTGCTGGATTTTTTTTATCGAGAGGGAATCTTCAAATTCATGCTAAATAGAACAAGAGTATCAATCTTTTTGAAGATTATATTGAAAAGTAATCATTAGTGTATGCTTATTAAAAACTAATTATTAAAAATAATTATTAATGTGTATTATTATTTTCAGATGGATCCGTTAGACCAAATCGGTGATCCTTCGAAAGGTCAATACGGAGTGTTGAAGATCCAAACGAGTCCGTTGGGGACAGAATCCGCGAGTGGGACCGATTTAAATGGTAAGAAATTGATTTTGTATGATTTAAGTACAGAATGATATTAGATTTATTTAGAAGACTATTTCTTCGAATTACATTCGAGAAAAATGTGCTATTGAATCGAGATTACGACAATAATATGACTGAATAATATAATTGTTTCAGCGTCTCGACAATATTCTGCATTCTCATTCAGCAATCCAGTTTATGAACCTAGCGCACCTTCAGGAAATCCGCCTGGTAGCGCTGGACCAACTTACAAAGTCGAAGATGTCGTGGTTATGAGAGGTGCTTATGGAACACAAAGCACAAGTACACCATGGTCCGGCATAAAAAGTAAGAGAATACAACTTTTTCCTACTTCATTAAAAATTAATAATAATCAATTAATTTTTTTTACATTACACAAACTTGTAATATTACAATTTGATGTTATCTTTTACACTGGATTCTGTAAAAATCGCATACAAATCGTAAGATATCTCAATTTTATAATTCATAGTGAAAATTTAAAATAATTTTTTAGGGGGTTTACTCGCAAGACTCGAAGTTGCCAAATTGATCTTCCCATACATGGCTAGCATTGGAGTCGCTTATTTCGTAACGCTTTGCTTGTATCCAGGAATCGTGTCGGAAATAATATCTTGCAAGTTTGAATCATGGATGCCGGTTATTTTAATGACCGCCTTCAACGCCTCTGATTTACTCGGCAAGGTATAATATCACCCATTATTTAAATTATTTACATTAATCCTGCTCTTTTTTAAATTAGTAACATTAATCCTGCTCTTTTTCATTGTTTTGTATTTATTTTTCATTCTATTGATTAATATTGTAATTTTATATTGTTATATTACATTTACACTTTAATATCTTTTGAACATTTAATTGAAAAATTAGATTTCGCTCGAAGATTGCAAGTTAATAATATATTAGGTATATTAGTGTATTAGATATATTAATAGAACATTAATGAAAAGGATAGAAAATTGATAGAAAACTAAAATTAAAAAACATTAGAATTATATTTTTAATAAAAATAGATAGTTTTTTTATAGAATTATTATTTTTTTAAGTAAAGATGAGCTAAATGTATGAAACGACATGATTAAAAAATGTTTCATCAGGATCATAACATGGATTATCCGGTTTCTTTTATAGGTATTTGCTTTAATACCTTACGAATGGAAACGTACGCAACTACTTTATTTCTCTAGCGCGCGGGTCATACTTATTCCTCTATTTCTGCTTTGCGCAATTCCACGTGGTGCTCCTATTCTCTCCGGCGAGGGATATCCGCTTTTGTTCTCTTGGTTGCTCGGTCTTACGAATGGTATAGTCGGTTCCATACCTATGATCCAAGCACCAAGTAAAGTACCGGAGGAACATCGAGAACTCGCAGGTATAAAATTTTATTATAAATCCAAAATTCAGAATCTGTTATAGTTTATAAGTTGAAAAATTAATACGACATATAATTTCGATAGGTAACATTATGACGTTATCGTATACAACCGGATTGACCATCGGTTCTCTACTGGCGTATATGATGGATGCTTGTCTCGGACCACCTGTGCAAGCCAAGGACGTGTGTTCCAAGTTGACCAAGATTCAGACCGCGTCAACCGCGTTAAGCAACGTGACGACGAGCATCTTGACGACCGCCATATCCTCCACTTTGTCTGTCGTCGAGAGAACGACGGTGATGCCGAAACCGAAGACCGTTAATGTGCTAACTACAATTTGGATGTCCACATTATTGTCGAATAGCACCGCAAGCCTATTGAATGATGAGGGATCGCTGAATGCGTCGACGACGGTTTTACCGAAAATCTTAGCTAATGTTACCACTTCGGCAAGTAACACGATTCTGCAACATTAGGACGCATATGTTTATGTGCTGTGTTAAATCTGGTGCTTACATATAAATACAGGGTGTTTCACATCAAATGTTTCTTTAAAACTCGACGTCGTACGAAGAATGTTTCGGATAAAATTGATAGAGTTTTGAAAGAAAAAATATTGATAAAAAGATTTGAATTTTAATTAAAGTTGTTTTTAAGATCAACCTAGTTTTTTCAAATAGGATCAGCCTAATTTTTTTGTACAAATCGATTCTCTACAATATTCGGCGTCAAAAATTAGAGATGATCAAAATAGAATGAATAGTTTATGAGATATTTTATATACTTCAGTTTTTGACATAATTTTATGTAAATTATGAGAGAGAGAGAGAGAGAGAGAGAAAGAGAGAAAGAGAGAAATATCTTAAAATAGTTCAATTTTTGACAATTCTATTTTTATAACTTTTAATGCCGAATATTGGGAAACATTTGTATAAGAAAATTAAGATTTTATTTTAAAAAAACTAAGTTTATCTTCATACAACCTTGATTGATATGAAAAATGATCTTAGTTAAAATTCAAATATTTATTAACTTTTTCTTTCTTAAAAATATAAATTTTGGCTGGAATGTTTTTTGTATGACATCAAGTTTCGGAGACACTTTATAACATTTTATGTGAAACATTTTATATAAAAATGGAGAGAGAGAGAGAGAGAAAGAGAAAAATAAAAAAAAATATGTGTGCATGTATGTGTGCGCGTGCGCACACAAAAAGGTGATATATGAATTAAGACGTTACTACAAGGCTGAAGTATTATGAATTAGATTGGTTGAATTTTTCAGTTAATGAAAAGGAAAAGTTGTTGAAATATATTATAATATTGTTTTCGTTATATTGCCAGTTATAAGACGCAATATTTATTCATATTATGTATCATCGCGGAACATATTTTTTGCTGTTTAATCTATATAAAAAAATTTGCTTTTAAAGAAACAAGAAAAATAAAACAGAAACAGTATAAGTAATTCTACTGCAAATGATTACAATAATACAATATGGTTCGTGGTAAACATATGTAATGTTATTAAAATATGAGACGTTCAGCATCTATTTCTAAATGTTGGTCATTCGAAAAGTTGTATAGATGAGATAGAATCTTGGAAATAAAGACCAGAAAATAGCGAACAAGTTAAATCTTTCAAAGCATTATTATATACAGAGTATCTCCTTACAATACTGTAATAGTATATTCTAGAGATAAAATAGAGTAAATGAATTCCAATACAAAAATATTGAGGATACAATAATTTTTGAGTTATAAATGATCAAAGTTTGTAATAATGTCGCATAGAATTCGCGCGCTTGTAATTATACTTACATGCGTATCGATCGTCTGTTATTGATTTTTTACTGTAACTGTAATTGATTGCATTGGATTAATATGATTGCATTAACATATAATTGACATTGGATTATAATGTACGGGATAAATGTAGACTAGTGAAGAAAGAGAAAGCAAGAAAAAAAAAACAAATTATTTTGAGAATTGAGTTTCAAACATGTGTCATGAGAATAGAAAAAACACCAAAATTAAAAAAATTATAAACAATTATTTTTAGATTATATATAAATAAGTTCGTATATTACAAAAATATTTATTTTTTAAATTAAGTATTAAAATATTTTTAGAATTTACATTCTCCAAATATATACAATTTTCATTTATCTGTTGTTTTCAATAAATAATTATCTCTCTAATTGTTTTTAATAACTTAAATAGCTCTTTGACTTTTGCTTTCTAAAGAAAGAACTTTCTATGTTAAATATTTTTCTGTTTTCAAAAGAAATCTCTTTAGCGTTGTTTTAAAAATGAATTACATCTGTTCGTAAAAATTGATTAAATTCTCCTTTTTTTAAAAAGACAATAGATTCAAAACTTCAAAATTGTATATTATATGATTGGATTATTTAAAATGAGGAGTGTTCAATTCTTAATAATATTACATAATAATAAAAATATATATATATACGCTGTATATAAATTTGGTATTGTGAGTAATTATTAATTAAATTAATTAAACAAATTAAATATAGTTAAAATATCAAATGTATAAACAATACCACTTATTTCATATTTTTAAATGATATAATTCACCTCAATCATCGTTTTATCAAATTATTATATAACTTATAAAAATAAAAAAGGTATAAATATTTTAATTTATATCTAACAGAAAATAAATGACTAAAATAAAATTAATTATTATATACATTTGTGTTTGAAGTTGAAAAAAGATTACTCGTTAGATATTCGGTGTGTAATTCCTGCTATTCTTGTATAAATTGCACGATGTAAATTAGTAAACGCTAGCTTAAATAAAAATAAATTTTGCATTTTATTTTATAGGATTGTATGGGTTGATATGGATTTTACGTTTCGTTAATATTTATTTATGCGCAAGTTGTATTGATGCACTTGATTTTGTATGTACTGTGATGAAGTTATCTTTTGAAATATCACCAGATTAAACACACGCACAAAGGAATCAATTGTGTATAACATTGTCGGTATGAAGCTGAAGAAGGTGGTTTATGAGATTACATACATGGGGCTTCACAAATGTTCCGTTTCTGTTAAGCATATGTGCCTTTTATTTCGTATCAGCAAATCGCTGTTTCGAATATTTTCAAAAATGCTAAACGAGCAAAATTGTTGATTCTTTTTCTAGAAAATAATACGTTATGTATATATTTATCTTGTACTTTAAAACTCACGTCTTTGTTATCGTTTTAATGCGTAAAAGATTGTTAAACTATATTCAATGGTTGATGATTGAGAAATTTTTGTCGATAAGGTTACTGCATGAGTATATTCTGTCATCTACATGTATATATAGTTGATTGATATGTAAATGTAAAATATGTGTATTTATGTGGCACATTAGGCGTCTCAATTACTTTACAATTCACTAGATCCACTTTTTAGATGAACTTTCAAAAATAATGCATTATGTGAATGAAATGCATTATGCCACATTATATATTATGATTCGTAGTAAAGAGACAACAATAAACGATAATTGACATAATTAATATCTGATATACATACGTGTTATGGTATACATATGTATTTGATATACATGTGTGTTATATCTCAAGCATAAAAAGACAAAAAGTACGAGTTTATTTTATGAAGATTTTAATCATACATAAAATTCTAGTTGAAGCACAATTGTTTTTATGTTTACTAATTTCAATTTAATTGTTAAATAAAATATGATTTTCTATTTATGTCAAGGATAAGTATTTTTGAAAATTTTCCCAAATTTTGTAAAATTTATATAAAGAAAGATATATTATTAAATTTCGTTTATAATTTAATTGTTGCTCTAGAATGATAGGAAAATGGTTATCACTTTATCCATAAAATAAAAATGAAAACATAACTCTTTTTTATTTCTAACACGAATGCGTTGACACTTAATGCTTAATAAACATGTATTAAAATGTTTATGATATATTTAGTACATGATACACTTCCTAAAAAAAAAAAAGACTTTCTCACAAACATTTCTACCCCCTCCAGCTTCGTTAATTGCATTATCTGCTCAACATATCCGATGTTATGTAGGAGATTGTATAATCAAAGTTTATAAAATTAAGACATAGTTAGTTGTATGTATTATGAAGAAATGTAATACATATGTAATACATTCTATCATGCGACCGATTAAATATCTCTCTCTGTTTCTTTTTTTTTAATATATAATGTGCCCAGTAGCGGATTTTCCATTAGGCACATTTTAGATACACATCCTGGGGCTTTAATATTGTAGGGAGCTTCCTCCAGATCAAGTTGTAAAGTCTTGACACTTTGATATTGCAAGATATATCCATATCAAGTTATACCTGGGAGTTTTAAAGTGCCAAAATCCGCCACTGCATATATACAAAGAAATATTCATCCAAAGTAAATAAATTTGAAAAAAAAGATCACTTCCAAAGCTAATCAATTATTTCGATTACTATATCACACTGCAGCAATGGTCTAATATATATGCGCATTATTCATAGTCAACATATTGACTTCTGAAAATTTATATGTATAGCTATACAGAATGTATTCGAAATAATCACATGCTTGATGTATCTTTTTCCTTCCCTGTTTGTACAACTCCAGAGAAAAACGTCCCCTAATCTACGATATCTTAAGAATAATGTGTATAAACATTTTATTCTTACGTCGTATAAAGTAAAGGAAACTTTTAGTAAAGCATCTTTTTTTTCTCACATATTGAACCTTCCTTTATGTGGATTTTAATCAAGAAAAATGCAAATATTTTTTTAGATTAGATGAAGAATTTGACAAAACTTTGAATAGAGATTTTTCGAAAAAGAAAATTTTATGTTAATGAAGTATGATAATTGAATATGTTTTGACATATTTTTATACAAAACATTTTTCTTAAAACAAAATACAACTAATTTAATACTAATTGGAAATTTTATTAATATCAAGAATAATATTTAATTTATAAGAATCTTTCTCATATTACTATTGAATTTACAAAATTGGTTGGATTGCGTACATCAGGCAGCATAAAAAGATAAAAAAATCATTAATTTAAATTACGTTTACACTTACGTTTTTTAAAGTTTCTTATTATTTAAAACAAAAATTTCTTTTGCCTTCTATTAACGTGATTAACGTGTTTATTTTATTTAAATCTAAAATAAAATTAATATGCGCGCATGTTGATGTCTTTGAAGATAAGTCATAGTCTAGCTAAATATAAAGAAAATATAAAGATGTTGAAATGCATATATGTAATAAAAAATATACGTGTATTATACTCGTTATGTTATATTTTCCATTTTAATAATGTAATATTAGGATACATTGTATCAAATATGATGTGACACTTTGATGTTGATTCTCTAAGTCAAGTATTTCCGTTTCATATAATTCCATAAGCACTATAATCAACTGTCACACATATCACATCACATTGAAATGTTAATATATACAAACTATACATATATATAAGTAATGAAAGGAGTACATTCTATACATATGCGTGTTTATGTATATATATATATATATATATATATATATATATATATATATAAACACACACACATGTACACAACATAATATATCTTATAGAATTATATATATATATATAGAGTTCCGAATTATTGGTTTCTCAAAATCTAAATTAAACTTTTTCGTACATGATCAATTAACATAGACGACTTATACAATAGCAATCTATATAATTGGCTCCTAAACTTTAATCACATATATGAAAATGCTGAAATCCCCGATAAAATGATGTCTGTTCAATCTCGTTGTTTCTTCTTCATTTAATCCGTATGATTTGATTTTAATAAAATCGTAACACAGGAAAAAGAACGCAGTTGCTTGCCTGCCACAATGGAACGACAACAATCGTCCTATCACAGTTAAAGTTTGCCTAGAAGAAAGGCCACGATGATAAATTATCAATATGAAAAAGGAAAACCGAATATTTCTATAATAATCATTTGAGGTATTTCGCTGCCCAGTCTGTTCGGCCATAGGGTCCGCCACTGGCTTTCGCGTTGAAAACGTTTCCAAATAAATTAGGTTGAAACGTGGGCTTATTGGTAGTCTCTATCGAAAAGAGAATTGGTGTTAGCTAACTGTGTTTTTGTCTTTTTCAAAAATATCATTACTTGGATAAAAATTGCCTGAGAATCGAAGCAAGCCTTCGGTTGGAAAATTAATAAAAAAAAAATACGCAATCTTGAAGTAAAAATTCATTCAATACTTACTGATATTTTGAGTACCATATACGCTGGGATAAGGTAATCTCAAGTTTTGTTCAGCAATATAACGATTTCGCGCGAGATAATGCTGTCTTGTTTGATTCTCAATACTATTTCTAGATTCCCAATAGGACTCTGCAAAGTCCTCATATTTGTTGGATGTCGTTTGACCGATGAATCCATTTAATAACAATTTTGATCGGTTGATATCAGAATCCCCATTTCTTGAAAATGAATAGAGAAAAGTATTAAACTGTAGACAATAAGAAAGCTACAGTATGTGTGATGAAGACGATATGGATGATTTATTTTGAATTTACACAATGCAAATTACACAAATATATCCAAATATAGCTGTGAAATAAACATTCAAATTTTTTCATGTGTTTTAGTTATAAAAAATCGTTCCATTTAATACATATTTACTGCAATCTAATGAATGCGACAAGCATATTGCTGAAAATTCGATAATCAGAATGACAATTGTGAAGATATATCGCAACGCATTGTTCACGTATAACACAAGCAAACGTGTTTTGTCTAATAAGTTCGTTATTATCATGAAATATTTTACGAGGTATTGGTCACAGTGAATCAATAAGATTTGACATAAGTATAGCAAATGTCTCGATATAACATTGAAAATAATCCAAGAGATTTTCCAAATAATCGATCCAATAAGCATAGAGATGCTTAAGAAGATAATTAATGGGAATGAGATTCTTGTCAGCATATCGGTTAAATATTGTATAGTATTAGCCAAAATATCAATCGATTTACGAACGATTGTATCATAAGATTGCGTTGTTAAGAAGTGGTATTTTTCAAATGGCGCAAATTTAAACAGATTCATCAGACATTCGGAAGGTATGTTCCATCTGATATGCAAGCGCAGGAGGCCGATTATTATCAACACCGTGCACGCGATAAGGATTCTCTCGATTGGATTTCGGAACATTATATACCTGGATGGCAAATTTGTGCTCTGGCCTGCGACATACCGAGCCACGCTGAGGTAGTGTTGCTTCGCTGAAACTTTGCGCGAATTCTTCATTTGACTGGACTGGTTTGACTGATTCCACATCCTCGACGATGGTTCGTTCCACGCTGGTAGAGACCAATTGGCATTACCATGCTTCAAATTTTCAGGTTGTTGATAATTCACATTCCAATTCATACGATTTTCCTTATATATGCGATCGGGGATGAGCATTGCACTTGTGTTTTCCGGACTGACTTTGCTCCTGATAAGATAATCAAAAGATCAAATCAAGTAACCGAAAGATAGTATATCGAAAGGTAAATTCATCGAGAAAAATTGTGCAATTTACCCTAAAAGACCGGCAAACTCGTCCTCATCATCTTTGGAAGCGTTATTATCATGTTTATTGTGATTATTATGATTTAGCAATGGCAAGGCAACTGTCTGCTGATGCGATTCAACCATTTTTTCGGGTGCTCTATAAATATTAAATTTCAATTTTAATAGTTTTAATAATATATAAAAATGTTATCAAAATTTTTTTTTAAATAAAAAAATATAAAATATTTTTTAAAAATTGTGATATCCAATTGAGACTTATCATCACTTATCGCAATAATTAAATATATATGAATTTTCGATATCTTACCTCGATTGAACTAAGTTATTAACAAGGTCTTCTTGAGAATAATTGTATTGTTTAGGCGCAGGTGATGGAAGATTTATTTTGTTCATGGTGAAGCCTCGTTGAGATATAACACCAATTTTCTTACTATTAATGATACGCGGGTCGCCAACTTGAAAATATGGATACCTAAAGATATGACAATAATCATTATTAACAGTTTCAAATCATTCAGAATCCTTTTAAAAATCTTTATAAAAACTTTTTAAGAAAATATAATAAATGATGTAAAAATATGTTAATATCTATTGTTTTTTGCAAAAATTTTATATATTTATTATATAAATTTTAATAATTTTAATATATAATAAATATTAATAACTTTAATATATAGTTTAATACATAATTTAATATATAACTTTTCTTCTTTAAAATTGGCATTATTATTATTGCATTATTATTTTAGTTAAGTCGAAGTTAGCATCTGCAAGCGTTTCATAAAAATAAACATCTTGATTATTTAATGTCTCTTGTTTTCAAGAATTATTTCCTCTTTTTCAATTTGTTAAATACTTTATGTAGACTTACATACCTAAGAGATTGCTGTGCTGTTGGTCTCTTTATAGGATTCCATTGTAACATATCTTCCATAAGTATAACTGCTTCTTGACTAGCATTCGGTATTAATACGGTTAATGAGGTACGCGTAAAATTGGGAAATTTGAAATTCATAGCCGCAGCCAATTGATATCCTTCCGGCCAATCTTCTTTATCAGGTGTTCCGATTACAGAACATATTTTAAATATTTCGTCAATTTCGCTTTTTCCGGGAAACAAGGGCCTAAATGTGTATAATTCGGCCATTATACAGCCAACCGCCCAAATGTCGATCGGGCTGTTGTAAATCGTAGAGTGTAACAATACTTCCGGTGCTCGATACCTGCATATATATAAGTCTTTAATTTTAATTAATAGAGGTCGTATTTTTTGTGTTTTTCAGTCATTTGTCTTTTAGAATTTGAAATGTTCTGATAATAAAATTAATTTGTGTGTGACTCCAGAGTTTAATTGAGAGAAATAATTAATCAATATGTGAAATTAATTGGAAGAATAAGTGCAGGAGAATATCAGAAAAAATTTATTAATAGGTATTTTTCTTCTCTTGTTCAATCTGAGTCTGATTAAAAAAAGAATCGAAAGAATGTGTATCGTTTATAATCAGTTAATGAGAAAAGAAGAAAAAGAGATCAGGGTCAAGGTATGAATAAGTAACGCGTGATATTGATCTCTGTAGAACTTTAAGGAATATTATATTTTAATTCAGTTATAATCAAAACTATTTCTGTTTTCATTAAACAAATACTTTTTCTTTAAATTTTCTAAGTTTAATTAAAAAAAATAACCATCCTTAAAGGATTAATTTATATTTACGAATAATACTATCACGAAACTATTACCATCTCGTCGATACGTAGTCAGTATACGGAGGTCTTGATCGAATCTCTCTCGCTAGTCCAAAATCAGCAATCTTTACTAACTCGGGTCCCATGCACAATAAATTTTCTGGCTTCATGTCGCGATGAAAGAAACCATGTTTATGCATGAAAGCGAGACCTTGTAATACTTGGTATACCATATTTCTTATTACTGGTTCGGGAAAGAGTTTGTCCCTACAAATATTCCAAATATATAAATACGAGATTAACAATAACATCTGTATAACGCATATATATACCTGTCCTTCATTAATTGGTAGAGATTTTCCTTCATGTATTCAAATACGAAATACAACACATCGTTCTCTCGTATAACTTCTTTAAGTTTCACCACGTTTGCGTGACTGAGTTTTTTCAATGACTATAATATAAGAGGGGAAAGAAGAAGATGAACATTATCTGTTAATAATTGTCGATTTGATTGAAAAATAAGAGATCGCGAGCAGAAGAAAAATTATTTTATAATTGTAATCATAATAATATGTAATTTAATTATATCATAATTGAATTTAATTATATTTCAGCACAATATTATCATTTATCGTTAATATCAAATATTACGTATTGTTCTGCAAATCTTTTTGTAATTTAATATTTAATATTTTAAAAATATATTAACATATTAATTAATTAATATATTTAATATTTTAATAGTTTAACATATTTTTTTATCCGAAATAATAATACGATTTTTTTTAAATTATCTAATTTAATCGTACCTTTACTTCTCGCAAATTCATAGCCTCTTCCCAAGAATAATATTTCCTTTTCATTCTCTTTATAGCTACTTTTTCACCTGTATCAATGCGTTCGCCGAGGACAACGGAACCAAAGGTTCCATCACCCAATTGATTCAAAGTTATATATCGATTCATCTTCACTTATGTTATGCTTGGAAATTTTTCACTCGTTCACTCGTTCTTACATAGTGAATCTTAGCATTACAATTGCGACATATTTATACACCTTCGTGTATGGCATCGCATATGTTCTTCATACCTATTGTAATCATAAAAACTGAAGATATTTTATGAATTTACTGATTTAAAAAATTTTTTTTCTAAAATATAAATTTAGTATATAAAAATTTGTAAATGTATGTATGTGTGTATAATGTAAAATATTTAAAACAATTATTATTCTATTAGAATAATTTCAATAAAGGAAGAAATCAGTGCTAAATAAATAAAGTGTTATATTATTTGTTATATTATTTTTTCTTTATTCAATTTATTAAAACGTTAATTTATTCACAAAATAATAAATATTTTTTCTTCGTTTTACTTATATATGGAATATCTGAGAATTATCCAAAATACGATGTGATGAATAGAGACAGTTTTTACTCTTGTAATAATTTAAATTCTTTGGAATTTTTTATTACAATTTATTTTTGAATTATAATCAAGAAAAGCATTATATTATCGAGCGGATACTTGAAGTTTAATTCGAAAGTGCGAGTATCTTACGCATATAAGTAAGGCTTATAATGCAAACTACAAGTTAGCAAACTTAGTCTCGTTGGCGTATAAATAAATACTTGGTGCGAGTTATCCAGAGTATTGACTCTATAGTGGTAGAATGAATATTTGATAAGCGACATTTTGCCATAAAACTCGAAACCGTTGACAAGATGGTAGAGAAACTCTTACGCTATTCACGTCAGAAAGTCTTAATTTGATGTCATATCAAATATCCTAGCTACGATTTTTGCGTAATATTGAAGAGAATTTATATGTATTTTAGGACTAAATAAATAAAGAAATATGATCAGAGAGCAAATTATTTTCGACAAAGTTTTCTCGTATATGTTGAACTTACTTGGAAAATTACGCGATAATATGTTCGACATTTTTTTTTGCACATGTTATATACGATAATCCGATTCTATGATATAGAACAGACCTATGACATATGGAGCAAAAGACTTGTAAATCTAGGACGTTACTTTGTATATATGTCACTCTGAGATTAGCATTTTCTTACGGCCGCATGCGAACAATCTTGTGAGCCAGACATGCAAGAATATAGATTTTCTCGAATGACGTTATTCGACCTGATAGCTAACAACCTGCGTTTTGTGATTTTCTATTCTAAGAGAAAAAAATAAATTAATTCCGATGAATTTAAATTTCGATACTAAAAAAAGTATTTTACACAACTCGCAATTATAATTTTAATATAACAGACTCTCTGATAAATTCAAAACATTATTTTTGATCTACAAAATATCGTAGCAATAGTTATAAATATTTAAAAATGGTCTTTATGTTTAGATATGATGATAATAAAATCTCGATAAAATTCTACTTGCCGATAATATAGCAAATACTACATAATTACGATCTTGTAACGTTTAATCCCGAAGATTTTAGAAATAAAACAAGAGAATATAAACATACAAATTTTGATTTATTAATATATCTCATTTTTGTGAATTTAATTAATTTTACAATATATTTTTATGAAATGCAATTTAATTATAATTTTATCAATCTTAAAATATTGCCTAATAATTTTTCCAAAGATTCCAAGCATTATTGTTTAAAAACAAAATATATATTTAATATGAAAAACATAGAAAATAATTATGACAAAGCTTATATTTTTTAAAACATAATTTTTAATTCTATATCTTCACTTTTATTTTTAAAATTCATTTTTTTTAAAGCATAGCGCATCTAAAATTTGCACTGCGCGATTTAAAAATCGCAAAATAGGCTTGCGAAATTATGCATCCCGATTTTCAATATGAACTTACAAAACGTTAAAAATAGCTATCAATTCCCAAGAGACCGAGATATATTATAGATCGCAATAAAATCAAACATCGTCAAGATAACATTAGAAAATTAATAATTTTTTTTTTGAAAATATTCTATTATTAATCGGAAAAAATCGGAATTGTACTCACAGAACAAAATGCAAAGATTCTTGAATTTTCATGTACTTGATTATCTTCTTGCGTAGCATTCGCAACAAACTATTAATCGAGCGGCCATACTTCACGGTCGCTATGGATACGAATATTAAGTCAAACTGTCAAACTCATAGACTTGTATACATTATACTAGACTGCCAACTTCGATATGAAAAGTGAAGCTAAGGCAGACATTTTTAATTGGGTAGAATACCTTAGACTGGGTTTACAATAGATAATTTAAGCCCTAAGCCTTAATAAATTGACCAATCACAGTCAAGTATGAAGAGAATATTCGACTGTGATTGGTCAATTTCTTAATACGTAGACTTAAATTTTCGCGATCGGACATGTAACATGTACCATCATGTATTTGTAATAATTAATGGCGTATAAGTATTAGAGAAAATAGCAAAGGATGTACAAGAGAGAAAAAAGGAAATCAGGAAAAGCATTGGACAGCGTATAGACACACATATACGTATAGGTAAGTAATTTATAAAAATTATTTATTATATTTATATATTATTTTCGAAATGATGAATTAATTGTTTTATACATAATCAATTAACTATTTTATTACATTATTTTATTATATTAATTTATTATATTGGTTTATTATATCAATTATTTTATTACATTATATTTTATTAATTAATTGTACATAATCAATTAAATAATCTATAAATTAAAATTCCTTTAATTTAATATTTCGCGTGTATATTATATAATGTATATATGTAATGCATAGAAAATTTCGAATCAATTCAACAAATTACCAATAAAAATAAAAGAGAGAGAGAGAGAATCACAAAATTTTATTAAGAAAATTAAAATTAAAAATTTATTTATATTTATATACATAAGCTTCTTGCTATTCAGCTGGTGCTACTGGAATTTCGTGCACATAGCACGGAACAAGATCAGAAAGTATGCACATGTTAAGCGGCCTTTTCATTGACGCTACTTTTTAGCGTCAATGAAATTGCATCTTAACAGTTGGCAGCCCTACGAAATAGGCTGTGCAGCACTGCGCGTATATAAAATAAATTTGAAATCGCTTCTAGCCTAATCATCTTCACGCGATCGACTTTATTTGAATTGCACAGCATCGCATCGAATTATGATGCGACGCCGATTTGTTCGAACGTAATTCGGGACATCGCGATGCTGTATAAGCATCGAATGAGCACGAATTGTCACGCAAATATGATAAATCACATCTACTCACCGTTCACCGGCTGTTCCACAGGCCGCTCCACTCGCTCGCCTCGGGACGTCCCATTCCGATCTTGATGCACACGATATCATCAACGCGAACGCGCGACACTTTATTCGGCACTCCCGATATTCGCTCGCATCCGATAATCATCATCAAGGGCGCAAATAACGCGACGCGACTTCGCTCCATCTTCGCGATCGCGCTATCACTGAACTGTGAAAAATAGCTGTCGCGCACTTTCACCGACATCTTATGAAAGTCGCGCGATCATCCTTGGACACTTTCGACGCTCTTTCACTCGCAATATTCGTTTAAAAACGGTTAAAAGACGCGAAAAATGCGGACGTACGACGATCCGTGTAACTGCGTATGACTCCGATTCGCGTATGACGCGTATGACGTAGCGATCACGCGCTAACATGGCGGCTGAACCAGTGCGCATTCGTTTCTGCGCACTGGTTCGGCCGCCATGTTAGCGCGTGCTGCGACGACACTGCTACGTCACTGCTACGTCAAACGCGTCATACGGCCGCCATGTTGGCGCGTGAATCGGAGTCATACGCAGTTACACGTATCGTCGTACGTCCGCATTTTTCGCATCTTTTAACCGTTTTTAAACGAATATCGCGAGTGAACGAGCGTCAAGAGTGTCCAAGGATGATCGCGCGACTTTGATAGTGTGTCGATGGAAATGCGCGACAGCGATTTTTGATGATATTCAGTGATGGCGTCATTGCGAAGATGGAGCGAAATTGCGTTGCGTTATTCGGGCCCTTGATGATGATTATCGGATGCGAGCGAGTATCGGGAGTGCCGAATAAAGTGTCGCGCGTTCGCGTTGATGATATCGTGTGGATTTGTGTGCATCAAGATCGGAATGGGACGTCCCGAGGCGAGCGAACTGTCCCGAGGAGGAGCGGCCTGTGGAACAGCCGGTGAGTAGATTTGATTTATCATATTTGCGTGATAATTCATGCTCATTCGACGCTTATCGACAGCATCGCGATGTCCCGAATTACATTCGGACAAATCGGCATTATAATTCGATTCGGTACAATTCAAATAAAGTCGATCGCGTGAAGATGGTTATGCTAGAAGCGATTTCAAATTTATTTTGTACGCGCGCGCAGTACATTACAGCCTATCTCGTAGGGCTGCCAACTGTTAAACGATAAATTTGTTTGATCTAACCTAACCTAACCTAACCTAATCTCTCAGTGTCTTTGGATATCGAATGTAAATACAAGTGTATGTTGCCTGGATTGTATCATGCTTTCAAAAATAATATTTAATTATTTCATTAGTGTATTACATTTTATTACGTAGTATATTAATCGCATTAAATGTGCGACGTACAGTTTTACACATTTTAATGAGGAGCATATAATATAATTGGTTAGATTAGATTAAATTAAAACAAGCTGCTGTGATTTATATAACGTAATAGGATTAATTTGACGAATGTGCAGCTATTGAAGTTACATGATATTTGTGGACACATTTTTAAAGTAATCATGAGTGTCTTATCTCATCTCGATTATATGAAATTAAAATATAAAATATTTATGTATTCCACATTAACGTTATTCATTGCAAGTACTATATTACTACATTACAAGTACTTTTCTTATATCTCAATCATATTCAACCATTTATTTAATCGATGAAGCTTTTCATATATCGCAGACAATATGATACTGTATGTGAAAGTTTGGAAACACAGGTAATACATGGCACAAAAATAATTTGCTCTCAAGTATTGTGCGCATTTCTCAAAAATAAATCAAATTAAATTATTTTCAGAATCCAAACATCGCTACATTGCCAGGATCTTATTATAACTGGGATATTATCACCTTTTAATGTGTGTGCGCAGTATTACATACATAAAATATATAAATTTATTTGAAACATACTGAAATCTTTATCTTATTTACAATATTCATGATATTATAAAAGAAAATTGCAACTCTAATGAAACAGAGCGATGGAATAATTGGTTGATACTTATGCTGGTCTACAATATTTACCCTTTTTTCACCATTAGACTTTTGGTGCTTTTTTTATTATACAGATTTTATCTGTAAATATAGTACTCGTAATGTTGTTTCTGTATCACTGTAAGCATACAAAAATGATAGCATTTGCAGGTAATTATGTTATACTTATATATCGTAAGAAAGAGAAAGTAAAATTAAAGTTGAATACTGAATGTGCCCTAAAGTAAATCTCATCTAAATAAATAAATGCATAAATGTGCGCTCCACATTCCTCATGAAAAAAATACATAATATTAATCTTTATGTATTATTTTTAGATTTTTTTTTATTCTTTTAAATTCTCTAGATGTACTTTTCATTTCTGCTCTCTTTCTTTCCAACTACTAAATATACTACTAATCTATCATTTTTAATATAGATCTGTCATTTTTAGTGTACATTATTGCAGTAAGTGGAATAAAGAGCAAATCTTTTGGCACATTTAAAATGTACAGAAAAGTCAGTTTTATCTGCATTTTATTCAATAGAAATATTTAAAAAAATCTGAAAAAATTCATACGTCTTTTTTAATCTTAATCTTTCTAAATAAAAATTAGAATAATAAATTTGCAAAATAATTTGCTTTAATATATTTTTATTGCAAACATGAAGCAAAGTGCTCAAGGTGCATCACTATGAAAACATCGATAGAATAAAAAGTAGATCGTATACAAAAAAATTAAAATATTTACACTACATATTTGATATAACATTTAATCGATATGTGCAGTAATGCGATAAAATCTAATTTTCTCTCGAATTTTTTCACGAAATTTAAACTACTAAGAAAATATCAAACATTCAAATTGTTCAATAGTCTTGCGAAAGAAGCAGTTCTCGCTTAAAGAATCTTTAGAAAAAAAAAGTAAAAAAATTCTAAAGAAAAAAAAGGACAAATAATTTTAAATCTCACATCGATATTTAATTTTATACTAATATTTTTAATGTAACACTTCATTTATAAAGATTTTATTTTGTGAAACGTTTATACATAAAAGTACAATGATTATACGGCTTCTTTAATCTATTGTTTCATCTTCGCATGATTTTCGTTTATAAAATATTTGTGCCTCTGGATATTTTTCTCTGGAAGCTTTATGCAATGTGTGTAACCTAAATCTGTTAACGTACAAGTATTAGAGTAACGGAATAAGTATATGTAATTTGATTAAAAATACGTTTCTTACATGAATTTTTAATTACATATTTTGTTATACTACAAATAAAAAAATTATGCTTGCGCGACGTGATTCTAACAATTTACCGACATGCATAAAATGATGACTTTACCGGCACTCGAAAAGTATTTTGACTACGTAATTCTGGCGTTTAACGCGAATGCAGATGGCGATATTAAACAGCAAAGAAAGATGGCCGCATGAGTGAAACGCGAGGCGCGAAATATTGCATTTCGTACATCGTTCTTTGCGAAAAAAATGTGTGAAAGTGTTGTACGTATTCGCGATTAACAGTTCGGTATTGATGAATACTAATCAACGCAAGTATAATTTGTCGTGCATTGGATATGTCTTCAAACTCTGTATATGAATCGCTCTCAGTCTTTTAAAATGCAAAACTAAATATTATAAGATTTGACTTTGGAAAAGCGCGATAAAACAATCGAATCATTCGTAATTCATATCATTAGCATAATATACCATGAATTTTCGTTATATATTGAATCGAAATTGCGCGAAAGAGGAAAAAAAGAACAAGCCTATGAATAGACATTTCCATCCTTTACTAAAAGAAAAAGAAATTAAAAATATCTCTCAATTTTTTCTCTGTTTCTTCGGGCAAGTCTACATATATGACCAATATGATTAATTGATTCTATCTTTATATATTTATCATTATGTGCTTTCAGAAATCAAAGTTGCGCGAACGTTGAGCACAGGAATGGCCATGCTCAGTGGTTCGTCCGCCATGTTGGCGCGTGACTGCGACGTCACAGCTACGTCACTGCTACGTCAAACGCGTCATACGGCCGCCATGTTGGCGCGTGAACCGGAGTCATACGCAGTTACACGGATCGTCGTACGTCCGCATTTTTCGCATCTTTTAACCGTTTTTAAACGTATATTGCGAGTGAACGAGCGTCGAGAGTGTCCAAGGATGATCGCGCGACTTTGATAATGTGTCGATGGAAACGCGCGACAGCGATTTTTGATGATATTCAGTGATGGCGTCATTGCGAAGATGGAGCGAAATTGCGTCGCGTTATTCGGGCCCTTGATGATGATTATCGGATGCCAGCGAGTATCGGGAGTGCCGAATAAAGTGTCGCGCGTTCGCGTTGATGATATCGTGTGGATTTGTGTGCATCAAGATCGGAATGGGACGTCCCGAGGCGAGCGAACTGTTTCGAGGAGGAGCGGCCTGTGGAACAGCCGGTGAGTAGATTTGATTTATCATATTTGCGAGATAATTCGTGCTCATTCGACGCTTATACAGCATCGCGATGTCCCGAATTACATTCGGACAAATCGACATCATAATTCGATTCGGTACAATTCAAATAAAGTCGATCGCGTGAAGATGATTAGACTAGAAGCGATTTCAAATTTATTTAGTACGCGCGCGCAGCACATTACAGCCTATCTCGTAGGGCTGCCAACTGTTAAGGTGCAATTTCATTGACGCTAAAAAGTAGCGTCAATGAAAAGGCCGCTTTACACACTGAAAAAGTTGAAACTGTTTGAACTTTATTTTATTGATGCCATATCTAGAGAAAGTCTAATGATTTTAATTTGCCGCTGGTTTCTAGCGTCAATGAAATTGCACCTTTACCCTCTAACATCAGTGGCTTCGTAGTTAACGTTTTTTAACGTTGTCCACAGATGGCGCATCGCTCTCAGGAAAAAATAGTGTGATACTCTCTAGCTCTCTAGTACTCATCGTAGATGGCGTTAAATTGGCCGCGGAGTCTCACGTCAGTTTCTGTTCTGTGTAATTATTTTCAAAGACTGAACAGGATTGAACAAGTCGTTGTCGCGACACGTATATCAGCGTGCCTCCAACGTTCTGCGATTTTATTGCATCGGTCGCCCCTGGAGAAGTGCCTGTTAAACTCGTGAATGTATGTGAGACTAGTGTATCCGGAACGACGTAACCAGGTGGTCCGATATCTTGGTTCTGATCTCTGTGCCGTTCGCTGCTGTGTCTCTCTCGAGGATCGACCGCTACTTGTGACAAGGAAAGGATCGAGGTAAACTTCCTCCTGGGAATGTTGAAGGACTCGCTTATCGTTCGAGCATCCTGCCAAGAGGTGGGTAAGTTTAGTTAATTTATCTTCTCTGTTACACGTATGAGTAGATGTGTGTGTATATGGGATGTGTATATGTGTGTGGATGTAAGTATGCCCATCAATGAATTTAGGGATGGTTTCGTTGCATCGCACCCTTTGCTCTTGTTTAAAAATCCGAGACGTTGAATATCGAGATTCAAGATTATTTTGTTTTATTTATAGAGTTTAGATTGAATGACAATTAATAATTATTTCGCGTGAAAATTGAATTTGTTTGTTTTTTTTTTTTTTTTCGAAAAAAAGGAGGAAAGAAAGTAGTGTCCTTAGTGCGTTTTAAGTGCAAAAAGTGCGAGAAAGTACAGACGGATCTTAAATTATGTTGATTTTATAATAAATCGTTCAAGAAAACTACTTTCGATTATGAAAACTTTTGAATTAATTTCTTGACTGATCTATGTCTTCGTCCAGTTTTGCTTTTATAAATATGTAAATATAATAGATATATAATAATAAATAAATAATATATAATAGTAAATAATAAATATAAATAAATTTTATAGATATATAGATATACAATTATATTTTCAATAAAAAAAAAAGAAAAAGAATAAGGAATTATCAATATTGAGTTTTCAATTCTAAAAAAAATTTTCAAAATGCTATTTTTATTTTATGCATTTTAAAGTAAATAAGAAAATAAAAAAAATTAAATGCTTATTAATTAAATGCTATTAACAGTTATAAATATATTTTCAATAAAGAGAAGGAAAAGAATAAGGAATTATCGTTGATTTTTCAATTCCAAAAGAAGTCTGAAAAAAAGTTCTTTTTATTTTATACATCTTAAAGTGAATAAGAAAATTTAAAGAAAAAATTAAATTATCAATTAAATTCTATTAATTATTTCATCTCGATTAAATCACGAGATTGCCACAAGATGTGTAAAAAAATAAGTATTGAGGGCGAAATGAATTTCTTTCTGTCCAATGTTGTTTTCGAGATGTTTGCTCTAATTGCACAATTTGCACACATATAAAGTTACATTTTTTTCTTGCGTATATGCTTTCTTTCTCTTTATCTCTCTTTTGTATTAATGTATCATGCAAGAAAAGACGTCAACCGATCGAGGCTTTTATTTTTTATTCGACTGCACGTTTGCGTTTCAACAACGGATCGCATTACGTGACACATGATGCCTCTCGGCGAGTGAAAGAATGAATGACAAAGAACTGAGAACGACGGTCGAGTGACATCTCTATTGTGTCGGAGCGGCTGGCGATGCGAATATCGATTCTAGAATTTGCCCGAGTGCGAGGCCAGTTTAATTTCGAGGTTACTGGGACTAATCATCACTCTCGATTTCGTTAATTCTTCTCACGATACGGATGGACCGTAGCTGTTATCAATTCATTCATTGTTAGCGATAGAATTTTGTTATCCATACATTTAGATTCTAATTCTCTCTTTGTTTTTTTTATTTTATTTTTATATTATTTACTATATATATACATTTTATTTTTATTTTATTTTTATCTTAATAGTTGATGTAAAATATAAGCATATGCCTCGATTTTGCGGTGTAATTAAATTAAAAAATAAGGGAAAATTCACAGATATCAAGGAAAACGGAGCATATTATGTAAATTTAATTTTTGTGAAGTGTGTTAGTCCAGAGAGAGCCTTAATGAAGTCTAATATATTTTAAAATTGAGTTTCTGTTTACTAACTTCTGTTTCATCTTAATGGATATTTTTACTTTGAAAAGGCAAATCGTTTTTTTAAAATTCATATAAAACCAGACTTCTTAAAATTTGGCAAAAATGATGAAGACAGGTAGGACAGAACGGAAATAAAATAAAACTCTTATGGTTACCATATTATAATTAATTAATTCTTATAATTATATGCAATAAATTGAATGATAAAGGGACCTAATATAATAATAAAATAAATTAAAAGAGAGAAAATGAGTTATAGTAAGAATTAAACTCAATAATAAAAGAGTGATTTAGAATATTTCAGTTACCAGTTATTCAATTATCAGTTTTAGAATATTTATTATTCAATTATCAGTTTTAGAATATTTTATTCTGTAATGATTCCATAGATATATTTCAGTTAATTTTTTGACCATCTTCAGCATATTACATAGATAGGAAACAATATGAGAACATTACACAAATTCCTTTATTCGATAAATAAATAAAGAAAAAAGAGCAAAAAACAATATATTCTTTTGTCAATACAGTATATTAAGAATCGATAACTTTAATATAATAATGATATAATTATAATATAATAATTAATATTCTCTTTTTAGTTTGACAGAATTATTTGTGTGAAATATCAAGAATTATTAAAATATAGAATTATTGAATAATATATGAAGCTATTAAAAGTATATAAATCCAGATTATCTTAAGTGTCTTTAAATTTTATCGAGATATGTCTATATATTTTATCAAGCTAGTTACACACAAATTTTATAAACTTACAGAAGATTTAAGCCATAATTGACATATTCACAGAATACATAATTACAGTTTTTTATTAGAATTTAGAGTTTTATATAAAAGACTTTATACTTTTAATGTATAGTTTTATATCTTGCACGTTCTTGCTTATTAATGACATTTGTTTTCCACTATTTGCGTTATATTGAGTTTACGTAAACAAAATCCCACGTAGAGCTCTTATCAATTGGCTTCTTGATTTTGACGCAAATCATTTATTTTTATTCCGATATACGCAACTCCAAGATACAAAAATAATCGTTTGTGAAAGATAGCAAACAATGTATATCGATATAAATGATTGAAATTATATCGATACCATAGTTATGTAATCTATTGCGAAGTTTGAAGTTTCAGTAGGCTACGTAAACCCGAAATACTCGTGCTCGTAATATTCAAGACGTTCTAATTTTGAGCTGTGTCTATTAATTCCTGAATTATGTTGCGTAAATTGTGTGCAGACAAGAAAGTCCATTCATTAATTAATTACATAAAATTTGAAAATGTAGATAATCATGTGCGATGTCAATATATGTTATAATATTTTTAATTATGTTTCCTCTTATAAATTATCTAATTATATAGACGACATGTATACCTATTTTTTATTTATATTTTTTAATTATATAATAAATTGGAGAACGACGATAATTTAATAATACAGTGATTAAATTAATTTTTTTATTAATTTTTTTATTTTTAAAAATTAATTCATTTTTATTAATTATATAAAATGTCTTGAGAGAAAAATATTGTTTCATTTTGGTTATTCAACCCTTTTTTTCTTTTTTTATTAAAAGATTTGTTTGTTTATTAAGAACAATACAAGAACAATTAAAAGACGTTACATGAAAAAATTATACCTGAGCGCAAATTCTTGTACGATATTGTACATTATCGCGTTGAATGTAGGTTGAATGATATTTGTCTTTTCGTTTCTCCGTTCTGCACTGATTTTGACATGTCTTTTCTTAGCTGATGGAAATAGTACGGTAGAAAAACAGGCTAAGGCCGGTTTAGATCGGTCAATTCCATAAATAAACAATCGATAGAATCCATAGAAATTAGTTCTACATACATAATTATTCAAAACTGATTAGAATTTTAATTAGTTATAATTTTAAGTAATTTTTAAATAATCGAGTTTCTAAAGCTGTATCATTTAGTCGCTCAATTAGCAATCAATTTTTTAATTCCGTTATGTTCAGATAACTGTGACAAGATATTATACTTTATGATGCAATTTTAAAGTTTTAAACTTATGGTATTTTTCCATACGTGAGATGAAGTATTCATAATATTCCTTAAAAATATGTTATAAAAATTTTTAAAAATTAATTTTCCCCTTATTTCAATGTTATTTGAGAACCTAAAGAAATATTATCCAGTAATAAAAATCCATAAAATTTTCATTTTTTTCCTCGATTAAATTAATTATAATTGTATATTAATTTATATATTAATATATTAATATGTTAATTATATATTAATTTATCGAATAAATTAAATAAAATATTACGTGCAGCTAATATTGAAGAAATTGATTTTGATATGTATGTGGATGTGTTTTTATACATATATATAATCGAACTGAGATGCTGTAATCATTTATGTGCATATCACTAATTTTATTAGTCCTATGCTAAAATATACGTCACTTTAAATAATCGCACTTTAAATATTTAACGAATGTATATCTATAAATGGGTTGGCATGGTTTGCATAATCAGATATTATTTCTATAGCATTCGCTAAAAACATTTTTATTCTTAATACAGTTTTAGTATAGTAAGTTCACCTTTGATTGTTTGATCGTTTTATTCTTATTTAATCGAAGATTGATACAACAGAGATAATTTATCAAGAATGGATGAGATATATTATCTTAAAAAAATGTAGTTTGATATTAACTTTTATTCATAAATTTTTCAATGACTCATCATAGTTAGAAGTATTACTATTATTAGTTATTATTTAGTTAATCGTAATTATTTAATTATTGTAAGCGTTAACTTCTTTTCTTCGAGACTTTTGAAGTGTTTTATGTGTATATAATGCTTTCATAGATTTTTCTTATTATTTTGTTGGTTAATTTTTCTAATTTTGTAATATGATGAGACATGAGATACATTGTTTTAATATTTTTTAAATATATGACATGCATCTCTTCAATTTTGAATCGGTATCAATTTGTCTCTATTTAATTTAATTAGCAATTATGAATTTGAATAACAGAGAATATTGTCGTTACTTACGATTGCAAATAAATATTTATTTTATTCAGATAATTAAAATGCATGACATGGAAAAGAAAAGACCTTTATCTAAAAAAAAAAAATGTTTTTTATTAAAATAAAATTGTTAGTAAAAATCTCCTAACATCTATTTAAAATCTTTTTTTTTTCTACACTAAATATTTAATTAAAAAAATTTAATTATCAAATTAAACATGTGCATTCAAAAAATTGTACTGTATTATTATTGCTATTATTATTCCAGAGGAGAAAAGAGG